AGGCCTTATCTTCGGTGTGCGTCTTGGGTCTTTACTTTACTATTGAACAATCAAATCGAAAATAAAGCCCGCCTGATGCGGTGCTGTAGGGAACGCTCATATTGAGTGGGAGGTGGCTGGAACGATGGAGCCTGCCACCACAGCAAATAATTCGCTGTATCCATGCTGCACTTGTACGCCACGTCCAGGCACGAGCGGCCCTGAGTTCCATAGCTAGGTCCACAATCTCGTGTTTCACTCTTGATTCAAAGATCACAAATGTAAACGTCAGTTTTGGGCGAAGAGAATCTCAAAAGATAACCGAAAGTCCTGAAACTCCAAGCCCAATTCGGCCAAACTACCACGCCAAATTACCCCGTGTACTAGTAAGCCAAGAAGCGACTGAGTTCACAATCGCCAGGTGCTCCGACACCGCCTGATGCCCGCCCATGTCGTTCAACCGCCACAACACCTTCTTGAGAAGGTGAATGTGGCCCCTGGCAGCTGCCAGGTGCGACACCGTGGACAAAGTCCCTGCACGCACACTGAGTGCGGTCTGGGACATGTGCGACACAAGGGCTGCAGCCATCTGGCGATGATGTGGCCGGTAGGATTGGTCGGCCATCACCATCAAGGCCGTCCAATGAGGCGGGCTCCGCCCCACAGTGGTAGGCCGATCCGCCAGCTGGGGCGTCTTCTCCAAGATGGCGAAAACCAGGCTCAGAGAGCCGACTCGCACCGCCCAGTGCAGGGCCGTCATGCCGGCTAGGTCCTGCACACTGGCCAAGACATCTGGCCTGAGGCTTCTGACCATCGCAAGGGCCCCAGCTTCATCGTTGCGCAAGATCATGTCCAGCAATCCCGTCTCACGATCGTCCTGGCCGGTCGTCTGCCTCGACTCCAAGAGCTGTGTAAGGTGCGCCTGCTGCTGTGCCATGAGCTCGCAAAGCCGCTGCAACTCCTCGTGGGTGCTTGGCTGCTCAAGTTCTTCATCACCAGGTGCGACACCGGCTCCGGAGTCATCATCGGCACCTGCATGATTCATGATTTTCAAACTCAAACGAAAACTTAAAACTGATCTGATCTAATAAACCACAACATCAATCTTCGAACCACTGGCTCCTACACCTAAGCTTCAAGGCACCTGTGGGTACAAATGCATCATCTGTCCGGCCCTCCTCGTCCCCGCCCCTGGCACGTAGCTCCTGGTCGAGCTTCTTGAGGTTGGACATGAGGGACGCAAGCAGCTCGAAGTCTTGCTCTTTGTAGCCAGCTCGTGGGGTTGACTTGCCACTGGAGGCAGGCGTGCCTGCCATCTGCCTGGCACGGCTGGAAGCCTGCACCTGCTGCCAACCTCTCGACGATCCCGCTGCTTGTCCTGTCCAGGTCCGAGACCGATCGGTCTCTCCCTCGGAGGAAATAAAATCCACGGACTCCACGGTGGACATGCCGCTGGTCTGCTCAGCCTCCGAGGCCATAATCCACGAAGCTCCCTGGGGGTCGGAAGCAGGACTTTACTCTTAAAACTGTAAAATTTCGGTGAGGTTTCTAGTCTCCAAACAGCATTTAGTACTAGCTAGTTAATCAATCATGTGATGGCCTCCGAGGCAGAGTCAATGTCGGCTCGTTCGCGGTCACGCTTAGCCGGTGGAAGACTCGGAAGGACCTGAAGGGACAAGAGCCAAGAGCATTAGTTGTGAACAGTTTGAATTTTTCCTCCCAGAGCTCATCCTCTATATCTGCACTACCCCGTTTAATTCTCTGGCCTGGGCTGCCTTTGCCTTTGCGCTGGGTGGCATAGCTTTGGGTTTGCCTCTCGGAGTCCGCGGTGGCTCTGGCTGCGACTCCACTAGCTCAATGTCAATCTCAGTCCAGCCGTGGAACGACGATCTGGCCACCTGCCCACGAAAGGTCAACCACAAGCCTAAGTAACCACTTCCTGCTTGTGATGACTTCATGCTTTTATTGTTTATCCTGTACTGTTTAAGTTTAAAATTTACAACTCACGACCCCCAATTCATCCATCGGGCCTCAGAGAGGGGTCTCCAGCCAAGGCTGCTGGCCAGATTCTGGAATTCAGCAGGGTTCATCAGAAAATTCAGACGCGGCCTGCTACCAGACTCGAGGTCGAAGCCCAAAGCATTCTGGGCGGCCAGTCCCAACTTGGACATGGCCTTGGAGCCTTCCTCACCAAACTTCGGCCCCATCTCCACCAGAGCATCGATAGGCCTCACATTCGGACGCCCCCTTCTCGAATGCACCGACTCAGGCGCCATCGAGCTCAAGTCCACGATCTGCCTGAGCTTCTGCAAATAGGCATAGACGTCGTAGGGTGCGAGACCTGTCAAGAAGATGAGGAGAAGGGCAAGCAAAAAGCTGGAGCGATGTGCTCCGTTTCTGCACGAAATGAGGATTTTGATCCCCTGGCTCAGGAGCTTGATCACGCGGCGGAACTTCTCCACGAGTAGCTTTTGATCGATGTCGCCTGCTGCGACCCCTGTTCCGTCCATGACGCCCAAAAACTCCACCCGTGAGTCCCGACTGACAGGAGGATTCGAAGCCGCGGCAAGGATTGCCCCGATGCCGTTTTCAAGCAGCACATTGGTTTGGGTACTAGCTGCCTTTCCGCCGAGCCACAACTGACCCCCATTCGGCATGTCTAGGACGATGTGCATCGGATGCCTGGGGAGAAAGTAAGCTTTTGACACTAATTCTAATTCTTGGCTTGCCTGATTTATTCATCAACACTCAGTAACCACTTCTTGAGTTCGAAGTCGAATACCTTCAAGTCCCACAAACCGAACCTATACTCACACTCGCTTCGCCCGCCAAGCCTGGCATTGTAGGTGTCCCAGCAAAGCTTGCGGAGCGAGGAGGGACTCCCATACGAGTCAGTCACCAGAGTTTTGGCCAGGTCCGAGACCGCCGCATTTTTCACATGCTGCTTTGACTTTGAGTCTCGCTGATCCGTTGGCCAGGTGAAGTCCTCGAGAGCCCTGCTTCGAGCATCCAAGGGTGCAAAGTCCGACATTGCCCCAAGCGCAGGCGCAGACAGAACACTCAGAACACACGTCTCACTCACTGATCGCTGTCGCTTTCTCACTCAAAGCCAAAACGTGCATTCAAGGCGAGCAGCAAGAAAACAACCAATATGATTCTAATCTGCATCGTGTTACAGTACATAAGTTGCATAGTACATCCTGCACGCAGCACTACAATCACAACAGAACTGCTTGAACCGTCATGCGCCCTGACTCCACTAGCAATCACTACCATTGAAAGCAACGCGGCAATGAAGGGCAGAAGCAGAAATTCAGTCCTGTCCATGGCCCAGCAAAGAAGTTCGTGAAGCGCTGAAAAGCTTCCCGCAAAGTACCTGCACGGACAGGATCTGACTCATCGAAACTCATGCACATCTGAATCAAGTCTCGTGCTTGTAGTTGACCTTCACACCACTCGTCCAGCAATGCAGGCGGTGTTTCAGGGAGAATCTGAAATTTCTCTCTCTCGTCGAAGTAATCCCGAACCCTGTCATGCAAGGCCTTCAACAAGTTCCCTTTGTTCAGCACCTTTGAGATGGAAAAATTGCCTCCCAAGTTTCCAAGTAACTTAGTAAGCTGTTCGATGATATTCCCAACTCTATGCTGCAAGCAAAGCGTTGGCAGGAAGAGATGATTCTGGCCCAGCTCCTGATCTACCATCTTCAACATTCGCACATTTGCAGCATGGGCATCTGAAGTTGTCAGGGTGGCAACATATTTCACGTTGCCCTCGAGGACCTGTGCAAATCCAGCTGGGCCAGCGGAGAGAGCTGCGTGCATTGTGGCACTATTCATTACGGGACTCAGAATGGCCGGGCATCTGGCAATATGTTCGTCATGTATGATAGTGTCTCCCACAAAACGGTATGTGACTTGCGCGTGCGAGCACAGTACCGAGTACGAAGCTGAAACAGCATTGCCAAGGCTGAGGTGGAATGTAGACTCATCGAACATCATGTTGCGTATTGCATATAGCAACTTGGCTGACTTCACCTCTTGGCTGATGCACTCCTTTAGTCTTTTCAAACCATGTCCTTGCCCATTCATGACTGCCTCAGCCACAACGAGGCGACAAGAAGCCGCGTGAGATTGTCCCGCACCTTCGATGGAACTCGCAACCTGTCGCTGGGTGCTCTTCTCAAAACTGAAACCAGCTCTAAGAATGGCAGCAGGTGACCAAGTTTTCCATGCCCCTCGACCAGTGAAGCTCGGTCTTTGCAACCCCGCTTCGTGCAAAGGGAAAAAATAGTCTTCATTTTTGGAGCGGCCACTTGCATTGTAGCTTCGCGCTTGCTGATCTAGCAATGCTTCTTTTTTGCCAAGCTTGCGCGCTTTCTTCTGCGATCCTTCTGCAGGAGTTAGTCCAGGTCGGAGACCGGATTTCTTCCCAGGTCCGAGACCGCGCGCACTGGCTGAAGCTGCTACATCTACTTCAGCTTCCTGCAAAACACCAAGAATGTCGTCCACATCCAGCAATCCATCCATGTTCGCTCGATCTAACCGAGGCACAGCACACTAAAGTTTCTTCAAACTCTCTGTTGGAAATGTGATCAAATGAAACCGAAATGTCATCTAGTTGGTTGATAGGCTACAACGGATTGAACAATTCTGAGTAATTCTCCTTGCATTGTCTAGTCTACTCGAAGGGAGCCTTACAGCTTCATAACATCACAACAGATAGGGCAACAGGCTCAGTTCTGATGCAATGGTTTCAAGGATTTGTTGGCCGTCCTCCCCCCCCCCCCCCACCCGTCTGATGAGTCTCTCTAGGGTTGGGCACTCCAGGGAGTTTCTGGGGTTGGGCTCTGCAAATTCTTTTACTCTATTTTGCAGGCCAAACTATTTCTTCTGAAAATGTTTAGGTGTTCTTTTATTTTTCATGTTTTTTGTCTTTTTTCTTTTTCCTGGAATGACAGGATTTCATTGAAATATCGGCCACAGGCCTTCTTGAAATCACTCAATCAACAGTCCCCTTCTGTCCTCGACGGAGCCATAGACATGATACTCGGTCATTGCCGCAAACACATACACCTCCCGAGAAAAAGTACCATGATGTCAAAGGGCAGAGTAAGCGTAAAGGAGGTACAAAACAAGATGAGTGCAAGCACTTCAGTTGTGCCTCCCAGCTGCAGTGCGGTGATGCCTCTGTAACCTCCAAGAATGAATCCCGGAAATCATTGGCCCCTCGCTGTCTTCTGACCTTCATCCATTAGCATATCGAAGTGTCGCAGAGGCAACCGAGTATACCGAGTCAAGTTGGGGTGCAAGGCCCACGTTGACATAAGACAATACCGTCACAGCCACTTCGTCACTGCCAAGGTGCATAGGCAAGAAAGTTGATTAGGGCCAGAGGGCACGGCTTCGGCATGTCCTCCATCAACTTCCTGCTTGACGAAAAAAGCGGCAGGCAAGAAACCAGATGTCTACGAGCGTTTGCATACCCCCCCCCCCCCGACCAAAAACTATTTCACTTCGAACATCCCCACCTTGCTCCTCGCAAAAAGGAAAGAGCGCAAATAGGATGTTCAAACAAAGACACATTGATTCAAGTACGCTTTCTTAGTTTTGCTTGCAATTGGGGTTGGGCACTCGAGGGAGACTCTGGGGTTCGGCACTCCAGAGAGAAGGGTTGGGCACTCCAGGCAGTCTTTAGGGCTGGGCACTGCAGGGAGACTCTGAGGTTGGGCACTCCAGGGAGATTCTGGGGACTCCAGAAGTCTCTGGTTGGGCACTCCAGGGAGTCCAGGAGTCTCTGGGGTTGGGCACTCCAGGGATCCAGAGGAGTAGACCGGGCGAGGAGAAGAGTTCCGGGTAAAATCTAACAACCCCACACCGAAGGTGGAGAAAAAAGCGCCAAGATGCTTGTACTCATCGTCTGCAGCTTCCAGCTTGCTGGCCGTCAGTGGTGACTCGCCCAGCTCGAAGCGTTGCGCCAGCAACAATCGCAGCGTGAGATCCTGCGAAAGTCGTTTGGCCCGCTTCTGTGTTGCTGAATGCTCCTCACACGGCTACCAACAAAGCCATGACCCGGTACTTCGATGCCATCGCCTTCGGCAGGAAGCGCTCGACTGCTTTGCGCAAGACGTCCGTGGCCTGCTCTTGTTTGCCACCTTAAGAGTCTCTTCAATGCATCGAGCTCAGATGCAAAAGCACTGAACCAATGTAGTCGGACAAGCGGCCTAAATCTAACCATGCAGAGAAGTCGAACCACAGATCCGGAAAGAAGCCGCATGCCAGCGACGCCTGAGACTGACATGGCCGACAATGTCCAACACTACTCGACGAACTCCATGTTTCATGTGCGGCCTGCTGGTAGACTAGCGCAACCCGCGCCGTCAGCTCCTCGACGCCAAGCTGGAGTGGGTTCGTCCGCTCGAAGCGTAGCACAGCACGCCACTTCTCAAACCTGGGTATGGGTAGACCCAGCCGCCAATGGCACTCTTTGTGAAGAACTCCATACCTCAATACCAAGTGACATTTTGCCCTGCTCCGCAACATTCTTGGGCGTCAGCGGCACGGCAACTGCATAGTGATCTATGTTGGAGGCCAACTGAGAAAGCTCCTGGTGCAGATGTTCCACCGGTGTCCATCTTACCGATTGCTACCATCGACATGGGGAAAACAGAGGCCGCCATGCGTTCGGTTTGTTTGTTAGAAAAGGGGCGAGGAACGAATTGGGCCCTTTTTTTGCCACCCCACATATCCCTGAGAAAACCTCTGCTCATTTCCTAAAGATCTGAATAAAACCCCTTTTCCCTCTGAAAACCCCTTACATTAGTCATTAGTCCTTTTAGATTGTGCCTGGGAAGCCTGTTCGCATGTATTATCGCAAGTTCTCTTTCATGGCATGATCTCACGGATTCCAAATATGCAGGTCGGGGCGGTGCACCCGCCCCCTCCCCAATTGCAAACACGATGCTTACATACCGGGTTTGGCAAGGATTCTTGTGTTTCTTCACGCATGTCCTCTTCATGGCATTCTGTTTTCTTGATAAAGGGTGGCAGGGGAGGGGGCGGGAGGGGGAGGTGGGAGGGAGGGGGGAGGGAGGGGGGAGGGGGCGGGCACGTGTACGCCCAAAAACGACAAGGTAGAAAATAACCATGGTCACAAAAACAAGTAGGTTGAGACTGTTTGGCTGATCTTGTTGCCCCATATTCGCTGTTGAGGAGCAACTCCTTGGCTACATCAAGCCTACAGCCTGCAGAGCTTATGAATGCTGGATTCTGCGTGATGTTGTTGACAAATTAATTGTCCCGCTGCAGTTGCCTGTGGGCCGCCGTTGCACCATACACAGTGGTACACCCCACAGGGCCGGAAATGGTCGGTGCACCTCGTTCAGTTTTACGATGCAGTCCGGACCTCGAAAAGTCCCTTTCCGACCCCCCAGACAAAGAAGCTTCTTCGACGTAGCGTCGGCCCCTTCATGTCCATCTCCCACCGAGAATTTGGCCAACAAGAACCCTTCTGGCATGCCATAGCCAACAGATGGCACCTTGCCCACATTGCTAAACAATGATGCCCAAATAGTCTGTAAGATCTTTCAGCAGGTGCATTCACTCGACTGGTGGCTCCACACATGCACATGCACATGCAAAAAGCAATACTGGTAATCTTGCCACGCAAAAAGCCTGGAAACTCTGCAGACTGCAGACGACATGACGCGGCATCGGGGAGCCCTGCCTTGTATGCCGCTTTGCCACGAACATACCGCGGCATGTGCTCGGACATCAGCTTTGCCGCTAAGGCGGGGTTGCCCTGTTGCGAGTTGGACTGGCAAAAGCTTGAATCCCTAAACCGATCACAACACCACAACCAAGACGAAAAAAGGGGGATTCGATCAGGCCTGAGACTTTTCGAACTGCTCGTAGCCCACCCAAAGCTTGTCCATGGTGCTATGCGAGGCCCCCGCGCAACGCTGGAAAACGCTTCGGAGGAACTCCGTATCAATCCTCAGCACTGCTGTCAGATTTTACCGTGCTTTTTCAGCTGCAAGGTTGGCAAGTCGTGTTCTGACTAACTGCCAAAGAATGCAAACAAGTCACTTCAGAATCTCTGACACGCGGAGAAACTCGGCATCCGATATATCCGCACATGCCCGCCCAGCTTCCTCCTGTTGATTCAGATAACGTGTGACAAGCGACAAACGTCGCACAGGAATACTCTCCTGGGAATGGACAAATCTGACTGACTACCTGGCTCACCGGCCGCCATAAGCTTGTCTCAAGCACAGTTCGTTCCATGTCGTCTGTCGACACGTCCTGCTTTTGCTTCAATGCCGGCTTCAGCGTCCGCCGAGCACTGTCAATTGGGTTGGGGTCTTCAGCCAGAAGCTTCCCCTGCAGCTCCGCATCGGGGTTCTCCTGACAGTTCCACTGTTACACTACACTCAGGCAGGGAAGCATGCACAAGCGCAGTAGCCTACCTCATGCTATCAGGCAAGCATCTCTCTTTTGCTGGACGTTGTAGGCATGCTTTAGCAGAGCGAGGTAGTCAGACCAGATTGGTGCTGCCTCGGACACGCAGGCAAGGCAGCAGCATGCAGCACGACAGGTAAATTCAAAGGTCTTGCACAGGTCTTGCGCATCTCGGCTCCATGCCCGCCAGTCGCTGCCGAGCACGTCCAGAGCTCGGCCATAGGACCTCAGCACCTCCTCCAAAGTCTGATGCCGTTTCGAGAAATTGAGGAAGGACAGCCACAGGTCCATGTTCGGCCTGAGTGTCAGCTGAGTGTCAGGATAACAGCATGCCTGCTACAGTCGCACAGGTCTGAAGGCAGATATCGTCTGATCGTTCAGGGAGCGACACTTGCTGCAGGCAGCGGCTGTAAACTCCCAACGCAGCCGCAGAGTCCTGCACGTCGTCAACTACCGGGCATCGTTGAACATTCTGATTCTTTCTGGTTTGGCCGCCTGCATCTCGGACCATTCGGCATAAGCTGCCCATATGCGGGCAGCATACGGCAGCTGCGCCACAGCACGTTCGAAGATCGGCTCCGCCTTACCTTCCTGCAGATCACAGACTTCGTGAGCATGGTGGTCAACAGCCATCCAGTCATGACGCATGGCGTCCTGGATTGCCTCACGCAATCTCGCATCCCAGCTATTTAAGTCGAATGGGTCTGCTTCGATGGCCGCGTCAAGCCTGAGCTACGAGCCCCGGAAGAATGACAATGAATTCCGGATGGTGAGATGCAGCTACAACAGGCGACGTAGGCACTTGGGCCTTCACTTCTCCCAGGCTTCTGACTCGGGCTATTGACGCGTATTGAGGAATGTAGATTCCATGTTACAGAATCTAACGTGCTCAGACGCCTCACGATCTGATCATCACTTCTTACATGCGGAGTCGTTCAGGCCTTGGCTAGCGCATGTTAGCGCCCGGCCTGGTGCTGTCGCACCCACAATCTGCACCATTTCTCAAGCACAGGAGCACCGCACGGTTGAGAACACCAGGTGCATCCAAGAAACGCCTTTATGCGCACTGCTGCCGGCTGTGGTGCCAGCTGTGACGCTTTAGGTGCCACCTCATTTGTCATCATCGAGTTGCTATCCCAGATGTGCTCAAGTCTTGAATACACATCCAACATTTGCCAAAATGGTACTTGAAATCCTTCTCCCTGAGGCTGGCCTGAACTGGGGCTTTGAGAGCACCTGGTGGCTGAACTGGAGGTGCCTTTGTGCTTGCTGACAGCATGGCGGAGCCTTGGATCTGGAATCCACAAAACCATCAGAATGCGGGTCTCCGAATGCAACATGAATGCAAGAGAGGAATGTCTTGCCCGAGTTCACCCAAGTTCACACCAAGAGGCTTTTGGGCGCTACAACGGCCATGGCTGCCAAAGCGTAGTAGGTTAGCAACGATGTGTAGTCAAATGAACGGCTTTAGACATGTTGTGAAGGGGAGATAGGCATGCCGTCCGGCTGGCCAAACATCGGGTGCCTTTCATGTATGAAAGAACGACTTCGTAATTTCAGGTGCAACGCAAGGAGCACAACATGCAATCTGTGGGCTGCCTGAGCTCATTTTCATATGTAGGTATTCAAGCTTGAGCCCACGAATACCCAATTGGTTTGAGGAAGCGGGGTGGGCCCCTTCCGTCTTCCGATGGGAGCATGGTTCTTGGACACTGGGTGGATCAAAATGATGAAGCATGGCCGCGAGAAATCGGTGGCTGAGTTCCCTGCTGTCCGATTGGTGCGTAGGCGCTACAGGCTGCCCCATGCACCTCCACTTATAGGCTCCCTGGGCAACTCGAAAAACAGGTGCGCCGGCTGTCCGACGGGTGGGGGTGTGGGGGGGTGGGGGGGGGGGGGGGGGTGGGGGGGGGGGGGTGGGGGGGGGGGGTGGGTGGGGGGGGGGGGGGTGGGGGGGGGGGGGGTGGGGGAGGGTGGGGGGGTGGGTGGGGGGGGGGGGGGGGGGTGGGGGGGGGTGGGGGGGGGTGGGGGGGGGTGGGGGGGGGTGGGGGGGGGGGGGGGGGTGGGGGGGGGGGGTGGGGGGGGGTGGGGGGGGGGGGGGGGGGTGGGGGGGGGGGTGGGGGTCCAACAAAAACAACAAGCAGGCCATCTATGTGTGCGAGAGGTCACTGATGCGACATGGAATGGAGAGAAGAGTGAGCGAGAGAATGAGAAAGCAAGAAAGTCAGAGGATGAGAAAGTGAGAGAGGGGGGATCGAGGGAGGGAGGGAATGGAGAAAGGGAAGGAGACGCGAGAATTGTTGCATGAAAGGCGGGGATATATACATATATATATATATATATGGAGCATGTATGTATGCAGGTAACGCCGCCCCATCATCTATGGCCCTCCTGAACCCCATATGAACCCATGGACCCTCGACGCCCAAGGGCACCTTGCAATAAACGGCCCGAAATGGCCCTAATGACCGTCTTATGCACTACGGGACCTTCCACGGCCTTGACAGACCTCTTATATGGAACTTCTGTGGCCTCTGGACCAAGCTCCACCCCATTCGCGTAAGGAAGCGCTGTGGTCAGGGTCAAGAGCCTAATCCGAGCATCTGTTTAATTGGGGGGCCCCCCCCCACCGCAATAAGTCCGCAATAATAAGACCATGGCAATGTATTGATTCTCTATTAAAAGCAATAGTCTGCAGATCCCTGAGGTGCTGTAGCTTCGCAGCTCAGCAAGCAAAACAAGAAGCCTGCCGACAGATTTTTTAAACCCCCCGAAAACACTTTCTTTAAATGTCGTATTGGCCCATATGAAAACCACCGCAATGGAAAGTAGTCTTCCGGCGGGCTTAAGGATGACATTCTGCCGGATTCGGGTAGAGTTGAGATGCTGAGCTTCAGTCGGGTTTCGGGTTTACAGCGGGTCCCGACAAAAGAAAATTCACATTTCTAGGTCCTAGGTGAGTTTTCGTATTGGTGGGTTGCGAATTCACACAAACCAGTCGCTCAACTGGCGCCTGAGTCCACGTGGCAACAGGATTCCAAACAACTATCTACGTCACCATCCCAACAGATTTAGTGGTCCTAGCTCCATAACACCAATAACTTCACTACAAAGACATGAGCAACATAATCACACCGTGCATAACTCCGGCGCTTGTGTGCCGTCGGTCACCAGGCCGCGCGGCCCTGGAAGTTGTGAACGTCACGCGGCTGTGTGCATTCGTGGTCACATGACTGCCCTGATGCAGATTTACTTTGTGGTTGCCAGAATCCAAAATCTTAGTTGATCTTAGGTGTTCCATACGACCAGGCAGTACATTGAATATGCATGCTGAGGCGCCGGAAGAATGAGTTTTGCATGGCTGCAATGGGTTGTGATGGATCCACGGTGCTATAGTTGCTTCTGCTTCGTGATGCGTTGTGCATCTGATCGCCACACAAGAAATGCAATAATGCCAGTGCAGCAGCTTGTTGGGGGGGGGAGGGGGGGCGGGGGCTGACAGGGCTGGAGGAACTCATGAAACCGTTAAGCCTGAAGAAACGGCGCGCATATACGCAGGCATTGTCAAGCAGTGGATTGCATTGGAATACCGGGTGCGAAGGTCCAGACATGCCGAGCTCAGGTCTACGAACGATGCATGATAATGCATGATGCCAGGTTTCTTTCCATGTGCAAGCTATGAACCTTCGCCTTTCACAACTTCAACTGCTATGTGCCTGATTGTCCCCGCATGCATACAGGCTTGGCCAAGAAGTTCACCACAGCCTGGGTTTCACGGTCTTTTTCGGAACATTGTTTGCATCTTATTACTTATCCAATGAGATGGGGCGCAAGCCACAACATGACCCGCAACCTGTTTGCAAAGCGCGATGTCCACGCGGTCTTGGAATCCGGTGGTCCAGTGAAACACTCGACTTGCCCTCAGAAGAAGGCCGGCGTCGCCAGGTGGGATGTCCTCCCAGTCTTTTTGGATGCTTGGGCCTCCATTGACTCCATCGATGTGACCTTCCCCTTCTTGATCATGTTGTCGATTTTTTGCCACTGCTGGTTCTCGTTCATTTTGCGCTTCTTCGCGTCGGCACCTTTCTTGTTGGCCGCAACACTATCATCTGCCGTGCCCTTCTTGCCATCTTTGCCCTTTTGTTTCTTTTTCTTGCCATCGTCCTCATCGCTGTCATCGCTGTGCGTGGTCATCATGGCTCCGCCCATCATAGCATTTGGGAACAACTCATCGTAGGCTTCGTTGCCTCGGCACGCATTGGACTCATTGAACATAGTCTTCTGGTATGTCATTGATGATAGTGTGCGTCCTGCTTGCTTTCTGTCTTTCCAGACCCCACCCCCCCCACTCCCCCTCCCGCCCCCTCCCTCCACCCCCCCCCCCTCCCCCGTGCATACGTGGCTTCCATGAGTGCTTTCGCTGTCCTTGATTGCGGCTGCCATTTGCCTACATTACGAGTACCATGTGAAATGAGATAACTCATAGTCATAGTACCACACACTGCAAACATGTCAGGCCCTGTCAAAGATGAACACTCTCATACACGCCAAATACACGCCAATTGACAGAATGCGATCATGCCGGCCGGTTTTTGTTGACTTTTAGGACTCATTTAACACAGATCATTTCTTCTTTTACCGTACTGCTTTCTTTCTAATACTCTCTGGTACAATCCATAGTGTATTTATTGGGGGGTTCTTCACCAAGAGAAGCTTACGAACAGATTTCTTATTAGGAGAGCCTAGGAGAACCTACTAATATACAAAATATAAGCTTGGAAAGTTTAGTTTAGTCTTTGTCCTTTGATCTGGAAGTGCGCTCAGCAAGGGCTCGTGCGCAGGGATACCTCCCAACTCGAGGTGCTTTGTGTCCCCGTTGTGTTTCTGCCAAAAAAAGTCCACCCCCCCCTTCACCTCCCCCCTCACGCCCTCCCTCCCCCCCTCCCTCCGTCCCCCTCCCTTCCCCCCTTCCCTCCCCCCCTCCCTCCCCCCTCCCTCCGCCTCCCTCCCCTGCCTCCCCTCCCTTCCCCCCTCCACCCCCCCGTTCATGATAATGTGCGCGGGCCAGCTATATTGTGATTAAGCTTATGGGGCCCATGGCACTCACTCTCTTTCATCCACGCACAATGATTTAAATACACTTGCAGCATTAGGTTCGTGCGCTACAAGCAAAATTGTTTGCTCAATTCGTTCACTGTCTTCTTCACTTTTGCGTTCCTTCACCTCATTCCTCCGACAAGGCCAAAGGCAAAGGAAAGAAGTGGGCGCAGTTTCAAGTTGGAAGACTTCCTGACTAGGGAGATTCCCATACGTCTGCATCTTTCTTTTCGGCCAATAGGAAACACTTCTTGATAGAGAACATATTCCTAAATGTCCTCGCGGAACAGCTTGTTGGAAAAGAAGGCACTCCCTTCCTGTCTGCAGTCTGCCAGCCTTATGTTCTTCCTTTAAATCGTGATGCCTTCCATCCTTTTGAAGAGCATGTATTCTTGCGGCACATACAAAAGAGTGAGCCCAAACAGTTAGAATGCTTCCTTTGAAGGAAGGGATCTCTCTGAAGCTGCGTAATGTATTTCTTCTATTTCTGACACACCAAAGGAATCTCAGAAGCCGATGCGAAAGAGTGTTGTTTCGTTTGGGGGTCTTCCTACACGAGTTTGCCGTTGATATGTAAGTGTGATTTTCAACTCTTTCGAGTTTGAGCCTGCGAAAGCATGGACCGGGCAAACCGACGACATGCATCATTATCGGAATTTCAAATTTGTGCTTGGTTCAGAACTGAGACCTGCAGGAATGCCAGTCCAATACTTATGTATCCGTGCTGTCCGATGTTCAAGATTCTAGCGGATACTGAAAACAGAGACTCCTGTCTGTCAGTAACGCTCAGGTTACATCTCAGCGGGTGTGGGGGGGGGGGGGGGGGGAGAGTTGTTTTTTCGCGTACTCTCTGGCCCCCAACACGCCCTAGAAGATCCCAAAATGCTAGAATATGCTAGAATGATAGAACCACCGAGGACCCTTGGAGATATTGAGTTCGATCAGCGCAAAGGGACCAGGATTGCCCATACCCTGTGCTCCGCTGCTCGCAGCGCTCGCAGCAGGCTTCCGCTTGCGGGGATCCTTCTCTTGCTTGGATGGTTCTGCAGGCTTGGTGGCCTTCTTCGGCGGTACCTCCTGAGCAAAACGTTGGACGAACTTCTTTGCCTACGTCAACATACGTACACGTAAACATACGTACACGTAAACCCAGAGTGCATGGGAGGCGTGTGCAGCATGGCCCTCTCCGGTCTTGACTGGATGCTCTGGCCTCGTAGTATCCAAGGCCTTCATCACCCAACTTAAAGACCCAGTTCTTGCCTCAGGCAGGCTTCAGCTCCAGGTTACACTCAACCCTAGATTAAGTGGCTTAAGGAATCTAAACATAAACAGGAAGCCCTAGCAGAAAGCCCTAGCAGAAAGCCCGCACTTTGCGGCATAGCCACGTGCACCGCGGAACTTTCTGGAAGGCTCGAACCGACCAGTCGGCTTGTGGAACTCTCCAGGCTCTAAGTTCGACTCCTGATCAGAGAAACGAAATGACCAATGAAATGACATGAAAGGACATGAAATGGCACGGGGGGCGACTCAGAGGCCATGCCGCCAAACGCCAGGGCAGTACGCCCTGTCTCGTCTTGTAGCTTACAATCCAATTCATGACAGCATGGCCCACGAAAATGTCATCGGAACCAAACAGCGTCAGGGAAGAATGTTTCGGGCAACATCAAGAAGACTGCCCAGCTTCAGACAAGACCACCCAAGCGCCGGCGCCGGAGCCTGCCGCGCGCACAGCTCCCTGGAGGTTCTCTTGGGATCGCGGGTGTCGCTGGCTGTGGACCATCGCCCCGTCAGGTACTTTTAACGCTTGAAAGGCCCGGCTCGAAATCGTTCAAGGGGAGGGGGAGGGGGGGAAGGGGGAAGGAGGGAGGGTGAGGGGCAGTCCTCCACTTCAATCTCCTCCATATCAAGCTGGCGGTCTGGTGCCTTTCCTCAGGACCGGAGCCCACGCAAAACGTACAACATAGCAATAAACAGCATGGACTCACGCAAAGCAGTCAGCAAGAAGGAGAACCATTCAGCCAAGCATCTATACTTCTCGTCCCCGGCATCATCAAAGTAGGAGCTTCCTTTTGCCTTCTGCGGAGGCGCGTCTTCCTCCTGCTTAACATCTCCTTTCTCCTTCTTGGCCGCCTGCTCTGCTCTAGCCTTCCGGACGATCTCCTTCGGCACCATCCCGGGAAAGGACTCTAATAGTCTCAGGCACGCACTGACAAAGGCCTTATGGCAGAAAAACCTGTTCAGCAAGGGCACATTGACGTCAAAGGCACCAGCACCAGCAAAAATGTCATTGTCGCTGTCTTTGGCTTTCACCTTGGAGGCTTCGACCTTCTGGGCAGTGGTGTAACTTGCACCTGCACCGCGACAGCTGTCCAGTGGCACAGTGCATTGAACTTCATTGAACCGAGGAATGCCTTCTCCTAGGTTCTTTTGCATCTTTCGCTGCTTCTTTTCCTCCGCCGCCTTCTGCATAGCATTGCGAACCTTTGCGTGCTGCTTGTCTGCAAAGAGTTACAAGATACGCAAAAGCCTCGCTCTGTTAACATAACTAAGTTTACAACTCGGATTGCCGTCTCTGGAAGCATGCCCGAGGACCGCTTGCCCATCTCACTCACAGGAACCTCCTCTGATCATCAAGTGCTGGTCAGGCCAACATTCTCAAGAATCCAATCTCGCAATGGGGAATGGCATGGAGTGGCACATTGCAAAACGAAGTGAGAAAAAAGAAGGCTGTTCGGCTTTCCTCTCAGTTGAAGGATTCGGAGTTAGGTGCGGCTGGCCTGGCTTGGCTTGGGGTTTGGCTTGGGCTGGATTCCTCTTTTGTTGGGTTGCCCCATTTGAAAACACAACGCTCGTCTTACGGCTGTGGAAAGCATCACATGGGTTTGAAGCAACTTCAGCAAGCTTGGCAGGATCAATGAAGTGGGAGGGTTGGGGGGTGGAGGGGAAAGGGTGCCCCCCCCCCCCCTCGCCGCCCCATTCACAAACAAAATGCGATGACGGATTTGCAGTCCTTCTCTCAAAGTAACGCCTTCGGGTGGCCTGAAAACAAGAACCCTTTCCAGAAGGCTTCGTAACCACGCAGGCATTGTGCAACCCTCACGAGCACGAACGCCCAGACGATTGACCAATCAACGATTCTAGATCTCTAGACGACATGTATCCAGCTGTAGCCGCGCAGCCACCTCGAAGTGCCTCGAATAGCTTCACACCGGACGCAAATACCTCACAAGTGAACTGTCCTCCTTGCTCATGTAAACGATCCGAGGGATGTCAGTCTTGCCCATGTCCATGTCTGTGTCAAACTCGAACGCCATGCGTCCCGGAAGAAAGACCGATGGAGCATTTCGGATACGGTGGCCCTGGCAGAATCTGTCGGTGTGCTCTCTGTTGAGGGTCGGGGCTCATGTTTATCGACTCTAACCGGGAAGCCACGTGTCCTGTGCAATGGCTTTGCCCATCTTTTGAACTCGCTCCTCTTTGGGCATAACTTTGCACAAGAGCTTTCGCTTTTCAGTTGACCCGTCACCCATTGGTCCTTGAAGGTGCTGTGGTGAGGGTGCAATGTCTCCACGACGGTCAACCAAATGTTTTTGGCCTGGGCTGCTAATTTCGTCTCAACTTGGGTCGAAGGGCAGGCGGGAGTTGACACAATGAACTCGCTCACGCGACGGCGTGCACGGTGGGTAAGTGGTGTACTACCATGTGTTCGAAAGTCTTCTTCTGCTTCCCACCAGTAATTTTCCGCTCCTGCTTCGCCTTCCTGTCTTGCACAGTCAACACTGCCACACCAGCGCCACAAAGCTCAATAAGCTGAGGTTCTGGAATTCTTCCGCTTTTTGCTTCTTCGCAAGCTCTGTGCGGACTTTATTCAGCAGCGCAAAGTCCAGACCCTTCACCAAGTGAGTGTGCTCCAAGTCACCTGCGCGAGTTTTGGCTAAACACTGTCATAGGTGAGGATCATCTCTGCAATCCACTTGCATCCCGCCTCCCAAATACTTTGACTGGTCAACTGGCACTTCTCCATGGTTCTCAAACTCGGCGGCTACTTTTTCCTGAGTTTGAATGACGCAGCAATCCAGCTGCAGAATCTTCGTCTCATTTCGACATTTAGCAGCTTCTCTAAGCCAGTGAAAAAAAAGGGCTGGGCTGCCTTTGCCACAGAGTGGCGTACTCGCCTTTCTGGTCGCGCCTTTCTGCGGCCCGATCTCGGTACTTGTTCTTCTCCGCATCCTGGACAAATGCATGACCTGTGCTATGCCGTCCTCTGCAAATCGGATCCCACCCAGGGCAACGCCGTCTCCTTCTCTGCCTGTTCCAAGGCTTTCTGCTTGTACCTGTTGGCTTTCCTTAGCTGTCCATGAGTTCCATCAGACAGTTTGACAAAGCCAGCGGATAAGAAGAAGCAGGCCTGTGCCAATTGGACGTTCTGCGTTCCGAGTTGGCAGTTGCCGCCGAAGCACGCGATTCTCGCAATCGCCGCGGCATCTTTGCCTTTGCCTTGGCCCTTGCCAGCATTGCCAGCCTTTGCACTGCCTCCTGCCATCAGTGCAGGTACGCTTCTTTCGATCTTTTGGCAACTGCGGTCGGTGCCTTTCTTCCGCTTGGTCAGCTCTGTGACAAGCTCCCTCAGCCCATGCGAGACTCGACAGAGCGAACAGAACAAAGCACCAGAGCGGCCTGTCATTGGTGGTGAGCAGCCGTTGGAAGTCGGAGTTGTTCATCGCTCAGGGCCGCGGCAATCGCTACTGACTGAGATGCGCCACAGTGGCAGTTTAGCTTAACTCATATGTCGTCCCAGGCGGTATCCAGACATGCTCTTCGTCGGGTACGAAGTCGGAGTCGGGAGACATGTGGAGACACACATTCTGACTGATTTCTCAATCATTCTCCATTCATATCATACGGGCTCTGATCGGCCGCGGAGGATTGCGGAGGCACAGAAGCATGTAAGGGCAAAACCAATATATCCACTGGCCACAACTCCAAAAGCGAACAGACATTTTATATTAGATATATATATATATATATATATACATGGTCACACCACCCCCCCCCATGATCTAGGTTTTTCTTTGTCCCTATAAAAACCTTCGTAAATACTGATTAAAATGACATGCTGGCTATGTCAGGCGATGTCCTGTTTTTGCAAGTCCAATCGTATGTGAGAAAACCTGTAAGTAGTGAAAAACGTGTGTGATTAGCACTACTTGCACATCATCACCTAAAAAACCGAAAAGACGTACGAAAATGCAATTTAGTAAACATGTCTGTGTGAATTATTTGCGTAGGACGGGCTTATAAGCACAGAATTGTATGCGAAAAGCACATTTTTTGCAAAATTTGCTAAAAATCCAAAAACCCAAAAACCCAAGACCATGGAGCCGGGAGGCAGCCTTTCTTGGATTTGTGGTTGTCTCGAGGTTTTTTGGTTTTCTTTGGAAACATCCCGAAAAAAAAAACATGTGTTTTTGGATTTTACTTGTTCCTGGCCTGAAAAACCAAAAAAAATCTTTGTCTTTTTTGGGTTTTCACTCAAAATCCAAAACAACCCTCGTGCTGTTTTGGATTTCAGGTCCTCCTGGCCTCAGAAACCCAAAAAACACATGGTTTTTTTGGATTTTCACTTAAAATCCAACAAAGCCCTCGTAAATTTTTGGATTTTCAACCCCGCGGAGAGTAGAGTCCAAAAAAACATGGTTTTTTTGGATTTTTCCAAAGAAAACCAAAAAAACTCGAGAAACCAAAAAATCCAAAAAAGGCGGCCTCCCGGCTCCATGGTTTTGAAGTTTTTGGGTTTTCTATTTTTTAAATGCAAAGTTTGCAAAAAATTGTTTTTCTTGTATAAAGAATGTGTATTGTTATAAGTTGTTTCTTCTACTGTGACTGCCTTGCACACACATAGAGAAAACACACACAAACACACCCACCATTTCGTTTTACTTTAAATTCAGCCTATTCGGTATGTAGGGCGTGGCGTTAACATGTAAAGTTCCATTAGATTTAATTACGAATGAGGCTTAGAAGAGGATGTCTTGGGATGTGGCATCTGAATATAAAAAGAAAGTAATATTAAAAGAAATTAAGTTTAAGAGAGGGTTTCTTAGGGTGTGTTTCTGAGGATGTGGACCTGCAATTCAAAAGTCTAATTTGACTTAATTATGAGTGAGGCTTAGAAGAGGATTTCTTTGGGCGTGGCCTCTTAATTGAAAAGTCTATGTAAGTGGAATTACAAACGAAGTCCAGATGAGGATTTCTTAGGGTGTGGTGGCTTAGTGCAAACCTCAAATTACATTTCATTACGAAGCGGGGCCAGGTAAAATTGAATTCCAAAGAGGTAATAACGAATGAGGCTTAGAAGGGCGTGGCCTCTTAATATGTTTTTTGTTTTACTTGGTTGTTTTTACGAACGAAACTGTGCCTTTATCATACAAAGTCTATTGACATTTCATTAAGAGGCCTCAGAAGAGGATTTCATAGGGGGTGGCCGTTAAATATAGAATTCTAGGTGCATGTAAACACCAATAGGGGCTCGCAAGATGCCATCTTAGGGTGTGGCCTTTTAAATTCTGTCCAAAGGGGTGTGGCCTCTTAACTTCAAATTCAGTTTAAGTGGAATTACAAACGAGTCCAGATGAGGATTTCTTAGGGTGTGGTGTTTTAATACAAACCTCGAATTACATTTCATTACGAAGCAAGGCCAGGGGAGAATTTCATAGGGCGTGGTCTGCAAAATAAAATTGCAAATTGTGTTAACCAATGAGGCTTAGAAGGGGATGTTTCGGGGCGGGGCCTCTTGCTTTGTTTGTTTTACTTGGGTTTTATTACGAACGAAGCTGTGGCTTTATCATACACAAGTCTATTGACATGTCATTAAGAGGCCCCAGAAGAGGATTTCATAGTGTGTGGCTGTTAAATATGGAGTTGTAAGTACATTTAAATACGAATGGGGGCTCAGAAGATGATATAAAGTTCTGTCCAAAAGTTATATAGGAACCTAGCCTAGGTCAGAACTTCTGAGGGTGTGGGCTTCTGACCTAGAATTGTAAACTTCTTATGAGATTCTGTTACGACAGGTCCCAGAATGGTGTGGCTTTTTTAATACAAGCATCTAGGCAAATCGAAGATAAGTCTAATTATAAACGAAGGTCTAATCTGGATTTCTTGTGGTGTGGCTTTATAATACAGACTTCTAATTAATCTTCATTACAAGTAGGGGTCAGAAAGGGATTTCACAGGGTGCGGTCTGCAAAATAAAATTCTAAGTCGGTTTCGTTGCGAGGAGGATGTCTTGGGATTGGCCTCTTAATATACACTTGCTTTACTTAGGTTTAATTACGAACGAAGCCCAGAAGAGGATTTCTTAGGGTGTGGGTTTACAATACGAAATCAAAACACGTTTCACTACGAATCGGGCCAGAACAGGATTTCACAGGGTGTGGGAAAAATAAAAGTTCTAATAGGTATTAATCAACGAGGCTTAGAAGAGGATGTCTTGGGGCGGGGCCTCTTCATATATTTTTTAACTTGGGTTATTTACGAACGAAGCTGTGGCTTTGTCATACACAAGTCTACTGAAATTTCATTAAGAGGGTCCAGAAGAGGATTTCATAGGGTGTGGCCTTTAGGTATAGAATTCTTTTCCTAGGGTGCGGGCTTCTTGTATAGAAGCAGCTCTTCAAGAAAATAGGAAGGAAGCCCAGATGAGGATTTCTGAGGCTGTATTCTCTGCATATAAAGTTCTTGCGAGATTTTGATACGGACTTGCAGGCCCCAGAAGAGGATGTCATAGGGCGCGACTTTTCATAGGCAAATTTAGATTTCTAAGCAAATTGTACTACGAATGAGGCCGGAGGATTTCTCAGAGGGTGTGGCCTTTTAATATTTTCACAAGGGACTCGACTGCTGCCCTTTCTTAAATTCCGAATTAAGTTTAAATTTCGCTTTGATGTGCCCGAAAGGCCTTCCGACCTAGATCATGGGGGGGTGAGCTTATATATATATATATATATATAGAGATATACATGCACAGCAAATTCAAGTTAAAGTCATTGTTTCATCGTTGCCGTCCTGAGCTCAACCAAGCTGAGCCATTACGTGCTCTTTAGTGAGCTGCCGAGTTTGCGCAGTAGCGTGTCATGATGTCTCTTTTGCCTTTTTCTCCGTGCTCTGGTGACCCATGGTTGCTCGACGCCTGGCATAAGACCCACCACTATCGTCTAATAACAAACAAGCGCAGGTAGTCGACAGACCATCGGTTCAGTGGTCTTTGCTGGATCCCCACCCTGGATTGAGACTCTGTTGGCCTCAATCGCAGGAAAATTTGCAAGCCTTCCATCCGATCCTACTAATCCACGTGTTGACAGGCCAGCATCTGTAATGATGAGAGTGGCCATCTGTACCAAGCGAAATACTATGTGACCGTCACTAAGACGCTTAGAGTCACTCACACTTAGGGTTAAAACGCTGACACACGGTGTCTTTTCGCACTTGTGACTGCATGCAAACTTCGGCACTGCGAACAATACATGTCACATCATGTCACTAAGCGACTAAGCAGAAAACAATGAAAAACTATGAAAAACGCAAAGTCCTTATATGTTCTGCTCCTCTCAGTCCTCCTGCGCTAAAGTTGCAGCCAGGCCCCCCTCCTCCTGCGAAGCATCGAAGCTGGGTCATTTTCGTCATTTGAGGAGTGGGAGTTCCATGGGAGTCCCTGTGGTACTCATTCCCAGCATTTCCCAGCCCCCGTCCACTAAACGCGCGCTGAAGGAAACCGCGCGTCAAACTCCTGATGCTTTCCGCTGTTAGCCTAACAGACAAATGCTTCAGGACGCTTTAGGTGTTTTTAGCTGCTGACAAAACTGACAAGAGCCTCAGAAAGCATGGCACATCATACAAACTCATTCTGCTTGTTTGCCGAGCGCCTTCTTCTCCTCGGTCACCACTGGTGCGGCTGCCGCAGAATTGTCGCTTGCTTCAACACCATCTGCCTGTCAAGGCTGCGCTGCCAGATGGCCGGAAATACATAGTCCACAACAGTTCCACAACCGGCGACTTAGATGCTGCCGTGAAAGCAAACGGCAATCGCCAATTCTGAAACATTCTGATTCAACCGGTCAGCTGCCTGGACCTCAAGCTTGCCGAATCTCTGCTGGCAATTGTAGACTCTCTCTGCCGTAAAAGAGGCATTGCAGTTTGTGTCTATGCCCTTGCCCTCACGGGGACATGCGCTGCCCAAGCCCCATCCGAGCCCCATCATTGACTGATTTGATTTACAGTAATGCTGGGTTCTGGCTGGTTGAAACATAGGCTGGTCGATGTTGACCGTCGATTGGTCACTCCAGTCGCAGTATGGGGCTGCACCGGCACGGCTTGCATTTCATGTTGAGCGCTAACCGAGCATTTTATCATGCTGGCTGTTCCGATGACATGAAACAGTGCTTCATGATGAAGGTTCTGCAGCAAACATCAGCATGCATGGTGGTGCACCTGCGCATCATCATCTTTTTTCCTCGAAGGCGAATCAGACCTGAGCCAAACGCCAATGCAAAGTCAAACCACCCACTGTCACCACCTGGCGCATTGAAAATCACGCGATTGACCCGAGAACAACCTGCGGCCTCACGCGTGTGGAGCTGCCTCATGAGCGGCTACTTTGAGGCTCTATGCCGCCCAGATACCGCGCCTTCTTGTATTCACTAAGCCTGAGGTAACTGTGTGAAAATTGCAAAGTGTCGCGCAAGCTGATCAATTAAGCATCAGTCAACAACCAGCAATCCCAGAACTTCTCGCCCAATTTCTTAAGAAGCAGCTGTAGGCAAGCTCTACTTTACTGTCAAGTACTTTGGACTTTGACCATGGGTCAAGTGACTTTTTCCGCTGCGGCGCGGCCTCGCCTCAGGGGGATCATGAGCCACGCTTACACAGCAGCAGAAAGCAACAGAAGATAGAACCCACAATGTGACGAATGATGTGGCATCCACGAAGCACACAACAAAAAGGGCACCAGAAAAAAATCCCGAGGCAAACAAAGAGCAGCCGAACGAAGCTTCCTGCCATACACTATGCAATAGCACCTCACCAAGCTGCCAAGCCATAAAGATGAAGAACATACCAAGAGCAAAATATCATGCATACAAGATTTTGAACTCATAGCCGGTCCAGCCGCTCCATGTCGAGCGCTTTGGGTTTTTGGTTTCGTTTCTTCGTCGAACCATACCCTTCAGTCACTGATTTGCCAGTGTACTTAAGTGTACTTCACATTTTTGGCAAGTTATGTGAACGGCCTTCAGCTGCTGGTCGCGATGTCGGAGGCCGGCTACGGCAGCATACCCTTCGTGGCTGCGACGTCAGTGACCATTCATGCTGTGTTGGGACAGCTTATGAAAGCGTCATGCAAAATCATCCCTTTGCCGCCGAGAGGGCATAACGCTGCCCACGAGCATGGCCTCGGTCTGGTAGTGCCAACAGGCGGCTACCCTTGCTACGCTTCTCACCTACAAGTCCGCACGAACACCCTTAGCACGACACCACAAGGGTAATCAAGACGGGAACTGGGTTGTCGAGAACCTGAGCGGTCTTCGTGCTGAACATGATGCGCTGTGTGTAGGCACCACAGGGCCACAAGGCCTTCACGCTCGCAATCGCTAACACTTAAACTTGAACCACAAACAGTTTTGAACGAGCTCGAGCAACCAAGTCTATCCCCTTCTGGAACACGCTCTTGCCGCTCGCCAAATTGTCCTCCAGGACAACTGTTGCACATGTAGGCCTGAGAAATAAACGACAGGCTGGCGGCCCGCAGGGCCTGCTTTGCCTCGATCTCACTCCGCACCTTGAATGTCGCCTGGCCAAATGCCATGACCTGACAAGCTGCGATGTGTTTTCGCTATTGCCCACTTGACTTGGTGAACTGCCAAACGCCTTCTCAGGGCTGGAATCGATGACAATGTTGTCAAACATGATGCCCTTGTCCATCGTCCAAATATCAATGCCAACGGAGTCTATAGCTGGCAGCATGTACGGGCTCTCATCGACAAAGTATTCGGGATTGTCGATCTGCCTGTGAGTGCAGAAAGATAGTTCGTGAAATGTATGGTACGCACCGCACTACTGACCCAAGCGCAACCAGATCTGCAGTCCAAAATCCCTGCCTCGGCTTCCACTCACCAACGTAGGCTGGGTTGTCAATTTTCGGTGCGTACCATTTGCCCTTGTAGTTGGGGTTGCTGATTTTGGGAGCCTCCCCAAGGTGAGATTAAGGTCCAGCAAAGAACTCATGTCTTGTTCACCAAGCCAGGCCTCCCACTTGCCGCAACCCACAGAACACTTGGGATTGTCAATAATCGGGGCTTCCCATTCACCATCCTCCTCATCATCCCAGTCCCCAGGCCTGGACAGCTTGAAGCTAGCATTGAAAGCGGTATACCAGCTATCGGGGCAAGGGAGACTACCGGGATCAAGTAGCTGCTCACACTTGTGTTCCCATTGTGTGTTCAGAGAAGTACTCGAGAGTTCCCTCAGATTGTGGAGTCATTCTGCGGAGCAGCCGTGTAGTTCCTTTCTCATTCGTCGCTTGTAGTGATTGTAGTGTGCTTCATTGATCTTCATTGCAGCATGCCGCACCTTTGCGACTTGGGATCAGGGATCTTGGGAAGCTCGTCTTCCAACCACCCTGAGGGCATGGAGGCTGATGGATCTGGTATCTGAAAAGGAGCATCTTCATCCCAATCATCCTGGGTCAACACATGCACAGATGGACATATGACCTGGCTAGCAGCCTCATGCATATGTGCATGACCATGTCTGGGAGTTCTGCGTCCCGCCCTTTACATCAGATTCTGTCCGGACGGTCAGCATGCAGCGACTTAGGCATTTGGACGTGTGGCTGTGTCGCTACTGGACTTCTGGGTGGAGGCAGGGGTCCTGGCTTTGGCCCACCGCTGGATGCTTGCTGCTACACGACACAGACACAGAGACACAGAGACACAGAGACACAGAGACACAGAGACACAGAGACACAGAGACACAGAGACACAGAGACACAGAGACACAGAGACACAGAGACACAGAGACACAGAGACACAGAGACACAGAGACAGAGGAACACAGGAGACACAGACAGGGGAGACAGACACAGGAGACACAGACACAGGAGACATAGACACGGGAGATGCAGACGCAGGAGAAAGGAGACACAGACACAGGAGACAGATGCAGACACAGACAGAGACGCACAGAGAGACAGGCACAGACACAGACACGGACACAGACACGGACGCGGACACAGAGACAGCGACAGGGACAGGGACAGGGACACACACACACACACACGGAGTGCGAGACACGCACAGAGACACAGAGACGCAGAGACGCAGAGACGCAGAGACGCAGAGACGCAGAGACGCAGAGACGCAGAGACGCAGAGACACAGAGACACAGAGACACAGAGACACAGAGACACAGAGACACAGAGACACAGAGACACAGAGACACAGAGACACAGAGACACAGAGATACAGAGACACAGAGACACAGAGACACAGAGACACAGACACACAGACACACAGACACACAGAGAGACACGCAGAGACGCATGCACGGTCGTCATCATCATACAGTTCATGGGTGTTTTAACAAGTATCTGCTGTCAAGAGTCTGGCTTGGACGCATCTGGATCATCCATCTTGGCATCGTCAATCCAGTCCGATGGTTTCTGGTCTGACGGGTCATCAATTTCCTGGCGCGTCTTCGCATTTTTGACGCGTGACGGCCATGCTCTGCAATCTGTTTCAAGCAAGTCTCCTTCGGTGGGTTGACTGGCGGCTGCATGTCCTTCAGGAGAGAGCCGCTTGCTTTCTTCTCACCATCGACATGGACTTCGAAACTGTTGTCGGAGCGGATAAACAAGCCTCACGCAGTGTCATGAAAAGCTGCACTGGAATCACTGGAAGCATGCCCGGGCGCGGCGCCATACGGCGCAGGCGCCATACTGTTCAGGTTATTGCATGCACTGCCGTCATGTTGATCATGTTGCCAGCAAGGAGCCGTACAAATGAGAGCGGCGGTCCATCGGAACACCAGGAGGTGTCTGCAAATGTTTTTCCTCCCATTTTCCACTCACAGGGTTCCTTGGATTTGGGCACAAAATGGCACAAACATGTTCGATTCACTTGCTTGCGCTCCTCCGCCAATGCACGCCTACAGCCATCTTCACGCGCAGTCTCGATTCGCAGTTCTACTTGAAAGAATGATAAGGAACCTTTTGCTGAAAAACTATCGAATAAACTTTTCGCACAAAAAACACTTGCCATTGTAGCATTTGAAACACGCTGCTCGTTCTAGCATTCGAGCCTTTCTGCACCTGCACGAACTGCAAATGTCAGAAACAAGGTGTTGGTACAACAGCCTTGTTCGTAATTAGCGTCCAGATACTGTCAAATTCGCAGGCTCCGTACTGACCGTAGAGTGCTGAACTCGTGCCTGCTCACAAGGTACAACACAAGATCAGAGCATTCCTAACTGCGCACAGGATCCAAATACCGAAAATAACACCATTTCGGATTGTTCACTGTCCACAAGCTCACAGACTTCACATACAGTATGTTCCAGCACTTCCAGGTGTTGGGCAAAGCTAAACATCGTCAGACGCTATAAGCTGCAGCGTTTTGGCAACTTCAAAGAAGTGATACCAGGGAACATGTTTAAAGCAGTGGCTTCGTTGGCTTGGCTTCGGCTGGGCCTAAACGCTCCAGGCGGAAACAGCAGAGGCATACGGGCATCTACGGCTGTCAACTACATGGGAATCGGAGCATCCGTTCTTGTCGTTCGTCGGTGGCTGCAAGGTGGCTGACGCCGCATGCGAACAAAAGAATGCGAAATGAAGTGTACGAGTTGTGGGCGCGTATGAATGTCTGACCGATGCAAAACGACAATGAAACCACTTCAATGACCAGCAACGCTGGACACAACACCACTGACATGATTGCACACGCTTGTGCATATGCAGGAGTCAACTGAGGTCCATGCTTGTGCTGGAAAATAAAGTGCACCTTGTTGGTGGCGCCACACTTGTCGGGGCCAAACATGATAATGTAGCCTGGGTGCAGATGAAGCAATCCACAGCGCAGCTACCACTACTGTACAACCAAAGCCGGCTTTACAAATTTCCAAAGCAACCATGCACATCATACATCATCGTATCACCAAGGCCGGCCAGGCCTTTTGGAACGATCCAAGAATCTAAGGCGCTCTCTTTTTTGGCGCATCTTTTTGCTTGCCGAATGGCGCGTGTCGGAATCGAAGGCATCCGAAGCCTTGCCTGCAAACTCTTAGGTTGCAAGTGCTCAAGAGGACGTCTCAAGGTCTCTCTCGAACAAGGATTCACAAGGTGCTCAAAGGCTAGGCCGTGCTGATAGAATCGAATCCTATCATGCGAGCCACGCCAAGATGGGTAGAGTGCCCAACTATGATTCCGCTATGATTCCGGCAGCCTCTTGTGGTTCAGCTGACACACACATATTTTATATATATATATATATAATCATATGTAATTTACATAAATATGTATTGTTACATATACACACATAATTATATACACATATATTTATATATATATATGTGTACATATCGTACACATCGCCATCAGGGCTCCATCGCGGAAGTCAGACTTAACAGTGCATGCACTTCTAACAGAGTGCCCAAACACTGGAACAAGCAATCTCCCAAAGCTCTGATCCCACCTTGACTGTCGAACAGCTTGATATATGAACCACCACACCTTATGAAAGAGCATGCCTTGAGCTCGACATGTTCAGGACACGCCACCTGCATGGTACCTACTGCCACTGCCAGACTGCACGCCCTTTGTAGAAGATTCGACAAAATATCCGTGTAAACAGCCGCGGTTCGGACTACAGGATCTGAAGATATCTGCAGCCAACTAACGAAAGGCCATCTTCAAATCTGGCTTCGAACCTCGGGTTGTTGAAGCCAGAGCACCTTTTGAGAAATAACATGAGCCGGAGCCTTGAATATACCTGTCACCTTGCATTCCTGTCTTGTGAAACCACGGGAATTCCTTCTAATGCCCTCTAGCCGTTTATCCTCTCCCAAGGAGCTGCAAGGCGAAGGAGCCTTGCTCCTTGACGGCAATGGGTGCAAACTTCACAGCCTCAAGGCAGGCGGCAAGGCGTTGGCTCTGTCCAGGGCACATAGCGACTGCGTCGACCACAAAGCTCACATAAAGCTTCTCCGAGCAGCAGCACCGTAATGGCGCGCTGCCTCTGGCACCTGCAGTGCGACATCGCCGACCAGCGCCTCACAGGGTTCTCCGAAGTGGCACCGACAAAATTCGAGTCTCATCGCCTCCAAACTCTCTGCAAATGAAATCCTCCCAAAAATACCCGGCAGAAAAAAAAACTCTTTTGTCACCTCCGGGGTCCGCGTGGTCACTTCGAACTTTCCATTGTACTTCTCCTGGCAGTGTGGGGTGGCTTTGGAAAGAATAGCTGAATAGCTGTTGCTGAGTTGCTGCTTGCAGAGTAACTTTTTATGCGGAGTGTGGCTTTTGCAGTTGCGCACTGAAACCCAAAAGACAAGAAGTTAGCTTCTCGACAAGATTCAGCCGCCGAATGCTTCCACCTAGACCACACCTGGCCAGAATCTTGATAGCACATTCAAGAATCACAAGTCCATGATTCAAAAGCATTTTCAGGCACGCTACCCTCGTGACCTTAGAGATGCTTTCTTTGTGACAAGACGCATCGGCATCGAAGGTCTCGGCGAAGTGAAATCCAGCAACATCTGGTGCAACATAAGGAGTGGTAATGGTCTCCTGCACACAAGGATCTGCCATGAGGAGAAACTTCTTGTAAGTAATCGCTCTTTTCAGCACAAGGGGGAATACAGATACAGATGCAGGACCTTCGTGCTTGGCTTCCCTTCACCTAGCAGATCCCCGCAGATCACTGCAGGTGAGCCGGAAGTGTAAAGAACTCCCAAAAAACGGCTGATATCGGCTGATGACGTATCGAACCACGCACCGGCCGGCAGAAGGAACGGACCCAAAACGGCGGCAATCCAGCCGTTCAATGCCTACCGCCAAGCCCTTCTGCATAATGTGGGCGAGCCAGGGTGTAGATGTAGTGGGGACAGGCAGTGAAGGAGTCACTGTATTTCATAACAACATCGAGAAGGGCGATTAAACCAAAGAAACGTTTCACTTTTCGACATAGTCCCTGTGACGACTTAAGGCATCAGCCTGCTTGAGAGCGTTGTCCTGGCAGGCTTAAGGAGGCGGCACGCTTAGAGGCAAGTTGCCAAAGATAGCTGTTCGCGTGATCTCTCCAGACTCCCAAGCCCGGAGAATGGAGGCGACATGGCTTAAAGAGGCAGCCGTCAGACAGTCGGACTTCAGGTCTTTGCACGCGTCCGTGACAGGCACAGCACAGAGCAACACTGCGAAAAGCGAGGCTGGAGGCGGATGCCAGGAAGAAAAAGCCTGCCATGGCACGAGCGAAAACGGCGTGTGCCGACGCGACGGCAGGAACACAGGGTGGAGAGCGTGCCAGAAGAGCAGCACAAGGGAAAGCGCACGAGAAATCGCGCGTACGGGAAGATGCTGAGCAGGAGTGTCAAGGACAGCTGCAAACATCCTCATCAACAGAAAAGCTAAGGGCGGGCTCAAAAACACAATGTGGCTTACAGCCTTAGCAAAGCAGTACCAGAAGGCAACGATTTCATGAAAGCAAAGCGCATCTCTGTTGACAGTTGAGGCAACATGTCTGAGGCACTTGCACCCAACTCGCGGGGTAGGGTCTCACCAGCAAAGGCTGCTGATCCCTCCACCTACCTGGCCCCTACTCCTCCCTTCCCTGTCGCCACCCTTACCCCACCCTACCCCGGCCCAAATCCTCAAACCGGAGCTCGGGGGCTCTTGTCCAGCCCCGGACCCCGCCTCTGACTCAGCGCTCGCAATCGAAACGCCCCAGAGCAGGGCTCTGCGCATAGCCCGCATGGCTCCAAGTCCTGGAGATGCACAGATACCACATGACATGTGTAAACCACGACTCAGAACCCCGCTTGGACCCTTCAGCAACTCCAAAACATTCTGCAGAATCATATACTGATTCGGATGGCACAACTGGTCGCTGTCAATATCTGTCAATGGAATTGTCTCTTGTTGGAAGGATTGTGACCAGAATTCATCAGAATTCAAGTGCGGCAAGGCTTGGACTTGGAAAAGTCGCAGTTGGCATCTTTCAAAGTCCTCGAAAGAATGCAAGAATTTTCGTTTTTGGCACATTCTAAATGCAGCGTTGGCACGGCCAAGCCTCTCCACTGTGCTGGAGGGGCGGTACTTGAGCCTAGAAAAAACGCCGGGTGCCATCAGCACGAATCACGTTTGACAGGGTTCCCTTGCTATCCGTGACTGGACGAGTCACTTCGTGAATTAGATAGCAACCCGTCAAGCAAGTCCTTCCATTGAAACCCCAAGACTGCCTATGATCAGGGCAGAAACACCACCCAGAGCCACTCCAAGCACCGAGCTTCTGTGCACTCACGTCCTGACTACAGTACAGCGCCCTTTGCCTTGGCAGTGCAGCGGGCACTTTTTTTTTGGAGCAGCGCAGAGCAGTAGATTCACGCTCACCCAACATCTATTTTTGTACAGCAGCTGCTCCTGATAGGGAGCAGCACCACAGGAACTCGTGAGGGCGCGACGTGCTCGACGCTTTCTTGAAAGTCTCAGCTACAGGCTCAGGAAGCGCAAGATCACCGTCAAACGAAGACGCTCTGCACCTGCTTCGGCGCCAGCCTAAGCATCCTGACGAATACTTTGACATCGCTGCTTTCACCAGCATATTGCCAGTAGCACGTTTCATGCACATGCCATGGGGTCCTGCAAGAGCTCACGTGGACGAACAGTGTTAAGTGCCCGGAGAACACTCCCAGGTCGGTCTTTGCATAGAGGTCGCGGGCAGCGAATGAGGAATGTGGAGCAAACCATGAGATCCTTAACAGTTCACGTACGGTGCTCCAACGCTTGGTTAGCGGTGCTTCCACAGCAAAGGCACATTGAGGAATCGATGGTGATGTTGCTACCATCTCCTCCTGTACCCGCGTTTTGGAGCACCATTGCGGCCTCCTGGCCTGGGCGATCTTGGTCTTTGAAAGATCCGCACATGCTCACGTTAAGGTGAATGTCAAGAAAGAATGTTAAGAGCAAGAGAATGCGTGCGCATTGCTGCACGCATGTTGCGCGCATGCTGCAGCGCATGCTGCAGCGCATGCTGCGCATGTGCCGTGGCCCACCTGCGAGTTCACGCACCCAAACACGCAAGTCGCCATCACAGCCAGCCGCGCAAAAGCCCTGCTTGCCCAGAGGGTCCTTTCACTGGAAGTGCTTTGAGGGGTTGGGGGGTGGGGGCGGTTTGCCGGTTTGGGGCAGGATGAAAGGCTTGGGGACGTCGGCCAAACACTTACACCTATAGAGGGCACCCATAAAGACAAGCTCTGCCGGGGATTCAATGAAAGAGCGAGGTGATGTCGTAAAGAACCCGGAAGGGGACCACTTCAAAGCCGCGCTTTGCAGTCGAAGACTATGGGCGGTGCCAGCCTTTCAACCGCGCTGACCCCTGCAGCAGTCCCAGTATGTCCCAGTCCCAGTCCTGGTTCACGGCAATGATTTCCCGGTTTTGGAGGATCTCTTTGGATTCAGTTGAAATCGCCCGCAGGTCGTTCGACATGAAAAGTGGTGCTGCGAAGATTGCCCACAGGGCAAACTGCGTCTGCTCTTCTGAATGTGATAAACCGAAGTTGCCGACAATAAGCATGTCTGGGTCCTGGTGTGCTCGGGCCACACCAAACCGAGATCAACCAAAAGCAGGCAAGCAAATCCCACCAAACCCCTCAAATCTTCAGATCTTGGCAGGATATGAGAGCATGGCATGCAGTGAGCGGCTGAGGGTCATTCCAGTGTCCAGGTCCGGCTGCTCGGACCATTTCGTCAGTGCCATTCCGCCTTTTCCAAAAATTCACAATGTCTGCCACCTGAGCTGGCCCATCTGGCATGATGCACTTGCGCTCACATTGCTGGCACACGATCCTGCTGGTTCTGCAGGTTTCTGAGATCCGCATTGGAGACCAGCTGCACTCTGCCAGCTGTCGTCAACCTTGGCCACAATTTCACGTGCAGTGCTCTTCCAAGCCCGCGCTGTTCTCTAAAACTCCTGCCTTCCATGCAACAAAGCACGCAGATTCAACACAAAATGTATGTCTGAGGGGATCTGAGGGACGTCCCCATAGTTGCGCCATAGATTACCTCACGTGTGTTCGCACCGGCTGTATCGCCAACATGCCAACAGCATGGCATCACACAAGGACCCTACTATGTTTGCAGAAGGGGCAGTTGTGCATCAACGACGCCATGCAAGCGTCACTGCCCTCGCAATGATGAGGCAAATACGCGGGCCAGCTGCAGCTGTACACCTTGAAAGAAGGACATGTAGCCCGTTCACAAACATTGCACCATGTCTGTTGCCAGCAAGGAAGGGGGGGGAGCGAATTGTAAGGAACACACTATTGGCCGCCCTGTTTTGTTCAAAGCTGCACCGAAAGCAGGATAATCGGTCTGCATGTCCTACAGGAATACATCGCGTATCACCGCGTGATGGAATGCGATTGATCTGCACAAGCCACAAAAAGAAAACTGTTTTGCATTGAGTCCTTGAGTTCCTCGTAGCAACCATCAACTTTGATGTAGTCTACGCCCCATGAGGCGAACAAGCGGGCCTGAGGTTAAAACAGTCATACACGACATCATGGACAAGTCTATCACGCAAAATGCGCTAACTGGTCGCTGCTCAGGCATCGACATCCTCGTCAAAGTGCCCTTGAAGCCCGACTTTCCCGGCGCACGTCTTGGACCCAATGTCGCTGTAGGTCCCGAACTGCAGGCCACGGCTGTGGATGTACTGCCCTATAGCGGCCATGCCCGATGGGAATCGGGAAGGATCTGCAACTTGCTGGCCCTTGTCGTCACGCTCGGGCATTGCCCAGCAGTCATCAATACTGACCTGCGTGTAGCCCGCTTCCAGCCATCCATCCTGCCGCGCAATGAAGCAGAAGGTAAAACAGCTAGACGACGTCACGACGTTACACCATGTTACACCGAAAAACCCGCGTTGAAAGAAGGAAGAAGGACATGCCAAGCTAGAACAAACAGCCAAAGCGGTGAAAGCAGTCCTCTGCAATACGGTCGGCCATGTCCTTGATTAGCTGTTCATTGATGCAACGCGAAGGGGTTGCGGAGCAGTCGGTGATGCATCGGTAGCGTTCCCACGTCATCCAACCCATTGGGGGTGTACGCGCAAGCCCATTGTCCAGGCTCGCCGACAGAGTAGCGGATACTGCAAAGCACACAGCAAGTAAGCGGCCCATGGCTGGCATAGGAACAATCCTGCTGGGCTTGGTCACAATCCCGCTCGCACATCAAATGATGTCGGACGCAGAAGGGGCTGTGGGGCTACTGGCTACTGTATGACTGTATGGGGCTGTGGGGCAGCTCCCGGGCTGCAAAACACGTGCATGACACCTGGCTCGACTGCCGATCCAGTTACTGCATGAGGGTCCCGAATCCAAAAGAAATCGACACTCCAAGACTCTACTGGCATGATATGATAAGATTGGCCGAAGCAGGTGGACGACTGGTGAGTTTCGATGATGAAAGACTTCTCTGGGCGGCACACACATGTACCATAAATGCATCTGATTCAGCCCATCTTTCTCCAGCCCTTTTGTCATGGAGGAGCTCACACTCAATGCACCACTTATCTCAAAACTGAAACAGCATCCTGGCCAGCACTGTAGATACTCTGCTCGTACCAACGGCCAGCATGCGTTTCGAGCCGTGAAACTTGGAAACTGGGTGAACTCAGCACTTGAACAACTGCTCCTGAGCGAGGAAAGCTTGCAATTTTGCCCGCATTTCAGCAACGATGTGGCACATGGATTGTGTCTTCCACTACTAGCGAATTAAGAGGGCATAGAGCTGATCTGAACGAAAACAATGCCACACTGTCACACTGCCCGCTACCCTGCTGAAGCACAGTACTCATTGATTGCATGGAGCAAAGCAGGATCCTCGGACGCAACGCACCGTGGCGAAAGCGGCCCTCCCACTTGGCACACGCCAGCGGGAAGGATGCCGCCTTGTACTTCTTCTCGACGGTATTGTTTCCAACTCCGAACCCCAGTCCGCAGATTCTGAATCCGTCGTTTCATTCTGGCGAGCACAGAACTGGCACCACGCGCCTCGCACCAAAAGCGCCACACCCGTGAGACTCCTGCAAGAGGCCCATGAGCAATCTCCCCAGTTTAGCCAACTGGCAGTAGCGGCCCCACTGCCTTTTCTTCTCCGCTCAGCGATCCTGCACACCTCAACTTGACTCGTGTGCCTCTGACTCGTCAGCTTGCTGCTGCGAACCCTAGGCATGGCTTCGCAAGCCTTGTGGCTGTCACAGAAAGTTCCCCGGAGGAAGCTGTGACATGAGATGAGGTGCAAACCCCTCCAAGTGCAAGCTCCAGCTGAGATGCTTGTGCTAGCTGTTATATCTATAAGATGTCACCGAAAGCTCTCCGGAATAGGTTGTTACATCACGTACCGCTGAATAGGGGTGCGGACATCGCAACCGTTGCTGCCGCTAGGACTAGGATCTCGAAGCGCATCGCTTACAAAAGGCAATTCACTCACTTGGCCATTAAGTTGGCTGCAAACTGCACTTGCCCCACTTGCCCCCTTGCCCCGCTTGCCTCGCTTGCCCCACTTGCCACTTGCCCCACTTGCTTGCCGGAAAGGGTTGGGGGAGGGAGGGCAAGCGGGGGCAAGTAGGGCAAGTGCAACATCAATTGGTGCCCGCAATGTGTATATATAGTCATTCATATATGTATATATATATATATGTATTTGTATGTATGTGTATTTATCTATTTATTTATATATTTATGTATTTATTCATTTATCGCATATATATATATATAAGGTGAAGATTTTACGCCGAGGGTGTCTCAAGCACAACTCCAACACCTCGAAAACTCGAGTGCTTGGACTCAGCGTGACTCTCTCAGAGACGAAGCTGCTGGGATTGCCAGACGTCGCGGAGATGCTGTGTTGTCTGTCCATTCCTCTTGGTGCTCTCTCGAGCCATGCCCACGACGAAATCCAAGGCAAGTTGCCGAGGAGAGTCACGTGTGAAGTGTCAGAACCCCACCAGGGAACCGCCAGCACGATGAGGCAGCTTTAGCTAAAGCAAATGGTCGCTGCCTATCCTTCCTACCAATGATTCCTGTTCCACTCGGGACATGTGCCTGCTAAGCACTAGTGGCTGTTTACAAGTGCCCAGTTGACCGCACTCCGGAAGCTGTGCCCAAATGCATCCCAATCTCGATCTCGTCTTGATGTCTCTGTCTGACCTCCAGGCCAATGGGCAGGGCACGAGGCCAGGACCATGTGTGAGTCATAAGAAAGCAGAACGCCTAGTTGCAAATTTCTGCCACCCGCCCAGCACGCATTCGAACACTGCGGGGACTACTTCAGAGGACCAAAAAGCCGCAGCAGCACTTTAGGAAACACTGGCCACCCACTAAGGGTACATAAACCACCAACATTCAGACCAACCTAGGTGGCAGAGCTTTGGCTGCACGATTGGGGTTTCAGTCTCTCATTGGTGTCTAGTGCGAGGTTTAACCCGTTCTGCATAAACTAGGTCGCTTCTGTCTCATCCATCCTGCTCAGACTCCGTCGTGTCTGAGAACGAGACAACCCTAGGACTTAGAAACTATCGTAACAAGAACGTCAAGTATAAGCGTACAAACATAGAAGCTAAATGAAAACTGGGAGGTTGAGGTCTTTGAGCTCGTTCTATATATCAGCACTTGAGAGGCCTACATTGGGAGGTTGGTTGAGAAGTGTGTACCAGGCCCCCTCTTCCACGTGAACGTCCCTCCCAGAGGACATCGACCGACCTGACTTGGGGGCTTCGGGGTATAGAGGCGTGTCACTCGTGTCCGTGCTCTCGACATCGGATATGCGGTGTCAGATGGGGCTGGTTGTTTGGGGGGAGGTGGTTGGGTCAGAGATGACGATGCCTGTTTGAACGGTTGAGGGGTAAGCCGCCCTGTTCAGCCTCAGTTTCCAAGGTGGTGATCCCATCTTTCCCCTCGCAGAGCAACCCCGAAAACGTCGTTTGGTGTTGCAATGTCAGAGGCACTCATGTGTTTTGCACGCTTGGTTTGAATGGCGCTACGACGAAGCTTCATCGCATGGGTAATCTTTGATCGGTTTGTGTAGAGTTGTTTGGTTGCGTTCTTCTCGTCATTGGGTTTGTGGTCGCGTTGATAATACATGTCTGAAGGTATTGTAGAATTACACGGCGGAGCACCGGTTACCCGCTCAGCCTATTCCCTTCTTTTCACGCAGAGGCTCTGTGTGCTGACTTCATTGCTTTACATTGCTTTGGGATGCGTGGGTCCACTCCTGCCCGGAGTCCTCCCCGGAACATTGATACCAATACCTCCACCCGCACACCCGTAACACAGTCGCAGTCTTCTGCGCTGCCCCGAGAGCTAGAAGATGCTAGAAGCGCTTTCCGCACTACCCGGTGCACAGGGTTCCTGGTCGTAAGGGCGGGCTGTGGGTCCAGACCAAAGCTGCCTGTCTGGGTCAAATCCTTTTCATGACATGTGTGCACCCCGTGCCTGCCAAACTCTGGGCAGTACCATGAGGTGTTCTTTATTGCTTTAAATTCGCTACATCTCCTCGAGCGTTCCGAATTTGTCGCTTGATTTGTGCTGGAAATGGCTGGGTGCTCCTCGGTGGGCCTGAGCACACATCCAGAAGCGGAAGTTTGCGAGTATGCAAGTCGAGAGATACTAAAAACACACTCCCCAAGCCCCAATGAATCGCACACACGGATGAAAGAGCGGTGAGAACACGTGAAATTTCAGTGGGCTCAGCACGAAGAAAGCCAACAGGAGCCATGAAAGCAAGCCGCAGCAGCCAGCCATCCTGCTACCACCTTGAGTTGAGTCTGTGTGTGTGTGTACCGCACCTCCTGGACAAAGTCATACGCGCACAGGAAATCCTGCAGAAGTCGAGTCTCACATGCTCGACATCCTGTGTACAAAGACCTGCTGCTCACACTAGGCCAAAGACGTCTACTGCAGGAAATACCATGAAAATCTAGGGATCTACTCCAAAGTTCGTGCCGCCTCTCGCTGCTGATCATTCATTGCTTGGAAAAGTGGGCCACGCAAGACCAGCAGATCCTTCGCGAGCCATCAAAACTAAGCAAGACTGCTCTAAACAGCGAGCCATCAAATGATGCGACACTCGCGCTCCTGCAAAATCTCGGGATCCTTCAGCTGGTGCTTGGCCCATTCTGCGGTTAATACCTCGAGTGACCGCTTGAATGTGAAAGCGCGTGACGATCCTGAATGGGAGCCGCACCTGCACTTTGTTAAACTTCTTGCACCATCCCGGCACGGACCCCTGCACACACACGAGACATCTCACAAGGGCCACGTCGTGCCGTCTAGCTTGTGCCTGACCTTCTTGTCGGCCACTGCGAGAATCTCCCTTCGGAAGCGTTCAGCCTCTCTCTGTGCCATCCTGGCACAGCTTGCCAACTTCCAGTCGCTAGCATCGAAGCCAAGTCTGTCAATGTTGAATGAACACCCTGGCCTCACCGCAGATTCTGGATCATTTGGAACTGTGGAAACAGGCAGCTGCTCGTGTCTCCTGCCGTGGCCGACTGACATCAGTGGCAAGTCACGTTTGATGAGAACGCACATGGTTCTCAGCGCCATGTGGTGTTTGAATGTGTTTGATACATGTGCCTACAATGTATCTGAACTGAAACTAGGTAATCTAACCACCACCGCCACATGCGACACCTGCACAGGTCAAGCCTAGGGTTTAGTTGCACGATGCGCACGTGCATTTGCGGATCGTGCGATGATGTCCTGCAGAATGCACGAATTTCACCGGCTACGACACCAGGAAATTGGCAAAACTGACAAATTCCGAAAACAAATCATCCAAGGCAGTTTCCTGAAAACACTTGAAATAAATTCAAACCCTTCAGGCACATATTCAAAGCGACCGGCTGTGATCCAGAACAAAGCCAAACAAGCGGCAACATCCGCGTTGACGGTGTCATGTTTGCATGTTCTGATAAGTTCTGGCTGACCTAGACGAGTCTAGTCGGGCTCTGATGGGTCTGCAGGTTTCTGCAGGTCCTGGCCACTACATCTGCGGTCGCAGGTGGTAGCGATTCCTTCACGTGAAGGCATGTAGCAAATTTCGCACATCTCGCTCAGGTTCCTGTGAAGGCCGCGATTCTCGACTCGAGAATACCAAGACCGAAGAAGCATGCCCAGAGCACGCCTCAAGCTTCTCCAGCTCCCGCCGTGCTGCTTCATTGTGAGGCTCTAATCGTAGCACCTGTGGCAAGCTGTCCACTGCCTACCGTCGCACAACTCCGAACGAACACACTTTGCAGCTATCTCATCGCGTGCTTGACCTGTCAATTAAGAACGGGCTGGAGCCAACGCGGTTACTCTTTAATCCCTCCAGATTTGGGTCTGCGCACGGAAAAATCTTACCGCCTTGCCTGCTGCGATCACTCTCATAGCAAACAAAGGAAATCAAGGCACCACGTCATAGCTTCAGGCACGAGGGTGGCAAGGGAGGGAGCCTGAAGGGAAGCGAGATTTCACGGGAATGTCGGTCTCGCAATTGTCGACAGGCGTCTGGTGAATTCCCATGCACCCGTGCAGTGGCCACTATGTTATTCGAAGTACACCCTAGCTGCACTTTGGTCATGCTCGGCCCATGCATGTTGAACGGTGAATTCAGGGCCCTGAGTTCTCTACGGGTCAGGAACATGCAGGGTCGAGGTAAAAGCATACAGACATGGCCTGTACCTCGGAAGCATACACTCCACTTTAGCTCAATCAAGGTACATCGCACTACAGTGCACGTGGAAACCGGCATCGCTAAGCGATTTCTGCCACTTGCCCCGCTCGCCCTGTTTCCCCCCCCCCACCCCACCCCACCCCTCGCCCTCCCCAACCCCCTCTGTAAGTGCGCTTGTGAAAAGAGATGACCAGCTTCGGGGCTGAGATGCCCAAAGCAACAATGGGTTTGGAAGGCTTTGTCTGCAAAGGACCTCAGCAGCTAAACTTCAAAGAGGCATCTGAGTGCTTCGGAGATGAGAACCTTTGGCCGCAAGTCCTGGTATCTTCCCCCGTGCTCTTCCGAATCGGTGTCCCGACACCATGCCAACCCCGCCTGCTCGAAGTCTTTTCGAGCAAGCAGCCACCCTTTGGCCTGGCAGGAGCAGCATCTTGCAGAAGCAGAGCTGTTCACCAGCCGACAAACGATCGACAAGTGCAGGGACAGGCATGGCACAAGCATGTCGCTCAAGTCAGGAAAGGACGACGTTGCTGTAAGCACAGCCACGTCGGAACAGCGCTCGGGTGTTGTTCGGGTCCACAAGCAGTGCCTGTCTGCAGGCTTTCGCGAGCGTTTTTGGCACAGCCATTGTGAGCTCTCACCCCATCCGAAAAACAGTGTGCGAGTACCAGGCAAGGTAGTGCAGACAGTGCAGGGCAAGCCAAGGCTTTGTTGGTCCGATTCTCCAGGCCATCTCAACAACTGCTCGGCAAGGATGCAAAACACGACTGTGTCTGCATGGTCTCCTAGTCCAACCCCCGCACAGCGTAACAAGCAACTCAGCATAACTCAGCGCATCCTGGCCATGGCTAGCACTGACGGCAACCTACAGCTCCAGATCACTCTTCTGATCAGTGCCTTGGTTCTGCAGGATCAGCTAGGACCACCAACAGACAAGACCCGGATCTCTGCAGCAAGGGCGCCATATCGCAGAGCAAATCGGGGCGGCAGAACAGACTTCAGGTTCACATCGAGCGGACGGTATGCTGCATCACTGGCCCCTGAGGACGCGAAGAAGAGCGAGTCACCTGACAGCCCAATTCGGGCCACCCCCATACAAAAGAACACTACTGGTCTGTGATGCTCTCTCCCCATGTTGCAATCCAAGCCGCCATCATCTCTGGCACGGAGCGATTTGGGTTGACAGTCCTCCCCGGCTTTGGCAAAGCGCATGACCTGCCTGTCGCGGTTGAAAGTAGTGTGGTAGTACCGGAAGAAGGGCATCCCCAAAATCCAAACTGGACCAAGTTGAGTCGTCATGTCCATCTCCTGAGGTCAGTCGAGCACTCTGCCAGCAGGACGTGGGGAAGTGAGCAAGACCCAAGAAGCAAACATACATAAGCACCCTCTGGAAAGATGGGGCCAACAACGCCACAATGTCGAGTCTAATGCTTGTCATAGCAGCCATGAAGGCAGGCATGCAGGAGTCAACCTTGCGAATCTTGGGCTTGAAGAAGAGGAGATCCCAAATGCTGTCCGCTTCCACGCTGGCGCCGACAACCCTCGAAAGGCAGAGCTATGCAGAGCTGCTCGCAGAATCTTGCAAACACTTTCTAACCTTTGCTGGGCGGAACCTGGGAAACATCTCATTCAAACTCGCAGGCTGTGCAACAGACAGGGGAGCTGCAAGCATACCATGGCATACGATGGCACACAAGCACGCACAGTTTGCTTTGTAAAAGAGCACGGATGGCCTCATGACATAGGCTTGTGGCGGGAGCTCCAGCTCGTGTCCATCGAGGTTCAACTTGAGGTTGGGCAGCTCATGGAGGTTGGAGCAATCCTCCACGGTCATCGACCACCAACACGCAACAACGTTTCTAATTGCAGCTAGGGGCACCACTTCAAACATGCGTCAGCAAGTCCGTGGAGCCGGCAAAACGACTTGCCTGAGCCGCCCTCGAAATGTAGTCCACTGGCTGTCGCCAGCACTGCGAACATATGCGAACATCCGATTGTCGACGCTTTCGATGCCAAAATCTCTGGCCCTGGAACCCCTCCAAGCCTTGTCTTTTGGATGCCTGATACGTAGAAAAAACTCGCTCGTTGCCCTGAAATTCAGTGGGTCTGCTGGAAATTGCGGCAGGATCTTGCATGCTGGGACCCCGAGCATGGGACATGAAAAACAAGCAACACCCATGTTGGCAGATAGGATCAATTGACGTCTCCTCTTCGATCTTGCCAATCTGCCGGCTCAGCTCCATGAGCGCGGATGCTGGTGCAGCGATGAGTGAGGTGCCACTGTCAACGATGGCTGCACAACCATCCTGACACACCTTTGGTGCTACGCATGGCGGCTTTGCAGCATCCGGAATTGCACTGCAACAGAAAAGCGCAATGATACGGGCGAGGCTGCGGCGCTGCTCTTGGTGGAGTTTCCATCCTGTTCTCAATCACACTTGTTCAGCAACTTCAGCACTGTTCTGACTCTATATGCCCGTCTCCTTGCTGAAGGAAACGTGTGTCAGGTTTGTGGCCCAGTGGTGCTTTCCCAGCACACGAGCGGTTGCAACATCGCGAGGCTCCTTGCTTCATCAACAGAGTTCTTCTATGTCATCCTTCATCATGCTGCCAAGGATAGAAAACTGCAATGGAGGCTCCATGCCAGCATCTGCATCAGGCCCCCAAGTGAGGTATCCATTTCTGCCCGACTCCTTTCATGCAAGGAAAGGAAAGGAAAGGGAAGGGAAAGATGCCTTGAAGTCTTACAAGCCGAAGCCATACTTCCCGTAGGAGCCCCATCCGACTGCGTTGAACATGGTCGGGCAAGGGCCAGTCCTTGTTCAAACAGATCGAAAACTCGTCAACCTCGGTACACGACCAAGACAGTGATATGTGTAAAAAGTTATCTATATATTATGCCGGCGAAGACCCCAAACAGTAAGATTGTAGACCAAGGGAAAGCGGCATGAAACAATAACGCGACGCGTAGAACTCGGCAGGCCGAGTTTACAATCAGAAAAATTGGGCTCAGTATGGAGGCGTGGGTTTCAGGCTTCTCTTTGGAGCTGCCAGGGGTCGGAACAACCCTTTCCCAATCCAAACGAGGGATTGACATGGATGTCCAAGCGCTGCCCACATGCATTTTGCCAGGCCTGAAAAATGCATTTGGTCTTGCTTTCTACATTTGCAATGCCATGCTCTCTCTTCTGTACTTTTTCACAGGCGAAAACAGCTGAGTGCATTTAGGCACGTGCGAAAAACGCAGCTGCGCATTCGCCTCTTCTGTACGCAGCTTGTCTTTACGACGAAGGATCAGCTCTTAACTCAATTCTATTGTGGTTGTGGAAGGAGCAAGCTGCGCGAATGCATTTTGACCACTTTGAAAAATGCACCTGAGCATGTTCTTCCTGATTCTGGGTCTGTTTCGGTACTCCTGCAAAATGTCGAACATTGTTCTAAACGCGTTTTTCAATTCCTATAGCTACTTTTATGCACAGAAAACACATCAGAAGAATCGAATACGTCATGAGCCAGCAGAACCAAGACTAAACATGATAGGAAACCAGTGCCAAATGCATTCTTCTGGCGACGAAAAATGCATTTGGAATGCCCTAGACATGCATGTCGGGTAGATGTTGGTCGTAAAACACCAATCTGCTTGTTTGTTTTGATTTCGTTTGTTTTTCATGCTGTAATGGAGCAAAGATAACCCAATAGACATGGATGACCAGACGCTGCCGAACGCATTTTGCCAGGCCTGAAAAACGCATTTGGTCTTGCTTTCCACATGTGCAACGCCGCCGCGTGTTCTTTCTGCACTTTTTCAAAGCGAAAACAGCTGAATGCATTAAAGCACGGGCGAGAAGTGCATTTGGACAGAGGCTTCTTCTGTACGCAGCCTCTGTCTTTAAGACAAAAGTCAGTTATCAAGTGAGTTTTTTACTGTGGTTTTGGAAGGAGCAAGCTGCGCGAATGCATGCTGCCTGCTTTGCAAAATGCATCTGGGCATGTTGCCTCTGATTTTGGGCCCCTTTTTCGGGAATTTTGCGAAACGGTGATTATGGTTCTAAACGCGTTCAAATCCTATATAGAGATGTTCTTATGCGCAGAAAGATATGAAATTTCGAAGAAGTCATGAGCCGGCAGAACCCAAGATTGCAACATGATAGGAGACCAGTGCCAAATGCATTCTTCGGGCGACGAAAAAAGCATTTGGAATGCCCTAGAAATGCATGTCGGGTAGATGTTGGTCGTAAAACACCAATCTACTTGTTTGTTTTGATTTCGTTTGTTTTTCATGCTGTAATGGAGCAAAGATAACCCAATAGACATGGATGACCAGACGCTGCCGAACGCATTTTGCCAGGCCTGAAAAACGCATTTGGTCTTGCTTTCCACATGTGCAACGCCGCCGCGTGTTCTTTCTGCACTTTTTCAAAGCGAAAACAGCTGAATGCATTAAAGCACGGGCGAGAAATGCATTTGGACAGAGGCTTCTTCTGTACGCAGCCTCTGTCTTTAAGACAAAAGATCAGCTTTTAAACTCGTGACACCCGCCCAGTATCATTGCGGTCATGACCGGAGACCATGGGAGACCACGGACCCAACGCGCCAGACCGTCCCAAGTTTGTACTGGAGAGCATGGGAGACCACGGACCCGAATCGCGCGACACCTGCCCAGCCCCACTGTGCTCATGACCAGAGACCATGGAAGACCACGGACCCAACCGTGACACCCTCCCAACCCTTGTCGCTCATGATCGGAGACCGTGGGGGAACGCCCCAGTGCGCTCATGATCGGGAGACCATGGGAGACCAACCCCTTCGCCAACCCCCGTCGCTTATGATAGGAGACCATGCGAGACCGCGGACCCGAACCGCGACACCCACCCAGCATGTGAACGGAGACCAGACCCGCGTGACACCCTCCTAACCCCTGTCGCTCGTGATCGGAGACCGTGGAGATCACGGACCCGGACCATTGTGCTCATGAGTGGAGCCACGGGGACCACGGACCCAAGTGCGTGACACCCTCCCAACCCCTGTCGCTGCGGAGACTATGGAAACCATGGACCGCGTGACACCTGCCATGGGAGACCACGGACCCAAGCGCGTGCCACCCGTCGCCAATCGCTTGACACTTTTGTCTGAGGAGAGCACCCCAAACGGTTCCCTTTTGGGGAAAAACCACAGGCCCGAAGCGCGTGACACCCACAAGGCTTCAATGGCCCCAATTGTGCTCATGATCGGAGACCATGGGAGACCACAGGCCCCGAGGCGCGTGACACCCACCCGGCCCCAATTGGCCCCAATTGGCCCCAATTGTGCTCATGATCGGAGACCATGGGAGACCGCAGGCCCGAAGCGCGTGACACCCGCCCGCCAATTGGCCGCAATTGCGCTCATGATCGGAGACCATGGAAGAGTGACACCCACCCGGCCCCAACGGCCCCAATTGTGCTCATGATCGGAGACCATGGGAAACCACAAGCCCCGAAGCGCGTGACACCCACCCGGCCCCAATTGGCCCCAATTGTGCTCATGATCGGAGACCATGGGAGACCACAGGCCCCGAAGTACCACGGGAGACCACAGGCCCCGAAGCACGTGACACCCACCCGGCCCCAATTGGCCCCAATTGTGCTCATGATCGGAGACCATGGGAGACCACAGGCCCCGAAGCGCGTGACACCCACCCGGCCCCAATTGGCCCCAATTGCGCTCATGATCGGAGACCATGGGAGACCACAGGCCCCGAAGCGCATGACACCCACCCGGCCCCAATTGGCCCCAATTGTGCTCATGATCGGAGACCATGGGAGACCACAGGCCCCGAAGCGCGTGACACCCACCCGGCCCCAATTGGCCCCAATTGTGCTCATGATCACCATGGGAGACCACAGGCCCCGAAGCGCGTGACACCCACCCGGCCCCAATTGGCCCCAATTGTGCTCATGATCGGAGACCATGGGAGACCACAGGCCCCGAAGCGCGTGACACCCACCCGGCCCCAATTGGCCCCAATTGTGCTCATGATCGGAGAGTATGGGAGACCACAGGCCCCGAAGAGCGTCCCCACCCGGCCCCAATTGGCCCCAATTGCGTGACACCCACCCGGCCCCAATTGGCCCCAATTGTGCTCATGATCGGAGACCATGGGAGACCACAGGCCCCGAAGCGTGACACCCACCCGGCCCCAATTGGCCCCACTTGTGCTCATGATCGGAGACCATGGGAGACCACAGGCCCCGAAGCGCGTCCCGGCCCAATTGGCCCCAATTGTGCTCATGATCGGAGACCATGGGAGACCACAGACTCCGAAGCGCATGACACCCACCCGGCCCCAATTGGCCCCAATTGTGCTCATGATCGGAGACCATGGGAGACCACAGGCCCCGAAGCGCGTGACACCCACCCGGCCCCAATTGGCCCCAATTGTGCTCATGATCGGAGACCATGGGAGACAACAGGCCCCGAAGCGCGTGACACCCACCCGGCCCCAATTGGCCCCAATTGTGCTCATGATCGGAGATCATGGGAGATCACAGGCCCCCAAGCGCGTCACACCCACCCGGCCCCAATTGGCCCCAATTGTGCTCATGATCGGAGACCATGGGAGACCACAGGCCCCGAAGCGCGCGACACCGGCCCCAATTGGCCCCAATTGTGCTCATGATCGGAGACCATGGGAGACCACAGGCCCCGAAGCGCATGACACCCACCCGGCCCCAATTGGCCCCAATTGTGCTCATGATCGGAGACCATGGGAGACCACAGGCCCGAAGCGCGTGACACCCATCTGGCCAAGCGCGTGACATTTTTTTCTGAGGAGAGGACCCCAAACGGTTCCTGTTTGGGGAAAAACAAAAAAGCGGTGCAAACATCAGATTGTCTGAAGTCTGAGCGGCATGATAGTTCATAAGCAGCGTCTTCCTTGCAGACTACAGGAAAGTTTCAGCGTGACACGCACATGACATCTGCTGCGGCATGAGGCGCAACGTGTCCACTACATATTAATATGTCCAAGGATCTGGGCAGAGTTGTACCCGAACTTGGGTCCAATCCCAACAATCGCCGCAAACTTCGCGGTATCCAGTATAGGGATCTCATGCTGCAAGATCCTTCCAGCATGAGAGCATGTCAAGACCAATCAGTGCACGGGCCTACCACAATGGCAAACACATTGCCAAGTTACTCCCAGATCGGCTGCTGCTGAGCGATAAGTTTGGGACCCACCTAGCAGGATGGGACCCACCTATCAATGCTTCCTCAAGCTGCTGCAAAAGTGCGTCTCTCCGCACCTGCACGGTGTCGTAACCAAGCATCGTCACGCACGGTCCAGATCCGTAAACGTGCTGCGTCATGGTCCCATTCTCCTAACAAAACTCAAGGCAACAGCAAGCAAACAGCAAACAAACTAGCCCATCCAAGTTCTGCCTTGTAGGTCTTGCTCAGCTCGTGGGAATACGGTGTGGTCGGGTGTACACATCTCTTGCATCTTGATGACCGGACAACGATCTCGAATGAGCCCGTGTCCTAGGCTCATGTGGCACCAAACCGCATAGCTGCGCATACACTCCCTAGTCATGGCTGCGAGCTGCATTGCTCACATACAAAGCGTGACATCGTCGTCAAGCCACGAAGATAGCAGCGATATCTTGACCACCAATCTTAAAATCTGCAAAGTACTGCACATCCTCGCCAAGGAATGTCAAGGAATGTGCACTCCATTGCTCAAAACTGCTTTTATACAGGACGAACTCATGACCTTCATGTCCAAACCCCGGAGTGCAATTGGCAACTACTGAGTAACTACTGACTCCTCATGGTTGTGCAACTGCTGACGGAAGGACATCGCGGACGGCCTGTTGCATTGGGCTATTGTCAAGTAAAGGCGGCAAGCAGCGGGCTAGCTGCTGGCGTTCAGCTTCTGCCACGGACAATGGCAGAATGATTGCTGCCAAGCTGCCCACCACTCTTTGTACGGAGCCTTCCGGCTGCAGCCAGCCCAAAGGCTAAGACCTTGTCACCACACCACTTGCAGGCAAAACACATCTTCCCAAGGCCAGCCCCTTCATGCCGAACGAGTGTTGCAGTGCCTCTTTTGCCCGCTGAGGTCGCACCAATCTCTCTTAGCTGTCTTAGCGTTACTTCTGTGCCTTCAGTCACACCCAAGTTTCATCAACGCGGTCTTCTTATTTCTGAACCCCACACCCGGCATCCAAAATTCGCAGGGGCTTCTTCTGCAAGAGGTCATTGCCTGCAGTGCGTTTCTAGTCGTAGTGTCCTGTTGCGTTGCCTGTGCCGACCAGCACTAAGTTCTAGAGCACTTCGATTCGGGAAGTGGAAGAAATAAGTGCTCGTAGCAGTTGCAGCCTGCATTACAAGCAGGGCAAAGTTTCGTGAGTTCGCTAAAGCAACCTGACATGCCCCGTAACTGAAGGCAGCTCCACTGTGAGCCACTGCGGTATGCTGGGCAGATTTGGCCCAACAACCTATCCAGCAAAGGGTGAATACTGGGTGAAAGCAGTGAAACACACTTTCAAATCGTCTCCGAGTGTGAGTGGTGGGCAAAGCCGCATATTAGTGCTTCGACGCTGCGGTATTGCCTAAGGCCTAGTTCAGTTCGACAACCTGTCAAGCCTCCGGAGGTTCGAAGATGTGATGGGCCCAGGTCGACAGAGAAGAAAACGGCAGCACTTGCAAGATTTTAAGCTCGAAGTGGTGCTCTCGAAAGCGGGCTTGCCCGACTCAAAATGGCCGGGGGGGGGGGGGGGTTTGTGCTGACAAGTTTTCGAGTCCCTACCGCATCATCAACAACAACAGCAGCAGCAGCAGCAGCATTATCATCACCTTCTTCTTCGTCTGGCATCTGACTGTCGATACACACAAGCCCGGTTCGCCTCTCACACTGAAGCGATGCTATTGTGCATCAATGTGCATTAATTCTGAGTCAGCCTGGCTCACAGCCTCATAGTTCTTCACGTTCTTCACAGCTGCATGCCGCCTGGCTCTTGTCGACGCGTCAACGCTGAACTTTGCACAATCTCACAGGCGCTTGACGAATACACAAGGTTCAAAGCAACACGTGATCTTTAGCTCGCACATATTTTGGACTTGCTGCAGACATCCGTGCCGAAACATTTTGCAGCTGGCCTGCACTGCACAGTCTTGCCTTGCAGTCGATCAGGCCTACTGTAATCTACAATCCAGTTCCTGGAAATCAATCTTGCACTGTGCATTCTGCGAGCTTGCAAAGCCTTCTGGCAAGAAGCATCCCAGAGTAAGTTCAAGCTACTGGTGCTTTCTGAACATCAGCACAATCAGATGGTGGAAAGCGGCAGGCGGCCAAAGACTCAGCTCTCCTGCCACCAATACGGTCTAACTACCATGCGTCTGCCACTTGTGTGGCTGTGCTCAGGCTGTCTCATTTGCGAAGTGCTCTTCCACGCTGCTGTCCATCCGCTTCCATCTTCCACCAGACTCTGCCTCAGGTGCGCTTTCACTTCTTCTTCTGCAGGACTCGAGCCAGGGCTTCCGCCTATTCTACTTACTATTATTATTATTATTATTATTATATTTTTGACTATTATTACTACTATTATTATTATATGTATATATATATATGTACACATATTCCTTCACTTGGCTTCTTCTGCTTCACTTCACTTCGCTTAGGATGGCTCTTCTATAGGCTATGAGCCCAGTCCTGGCTCTCTTCCACCCCCCCCCCTACGAGTCCACCGGCATGCACCGCTCAGGATGCCACAGGCTCACCGCGATGAAGCTTCCGCTGCCGGTGGAAAGCACAGCGCAGCGCCAAAGCTGCACCGAAAGCCGACAGCCTCAAGATTCCAATTAAGTGAGTGCAGAGTGTGAAGATTTTGCCTCAGCGTGTGTGATGATTCATTGCCAATCACAATACGAAGGGCAAAGTCCAGACAGGGCAGACTAAATTGAGGCATCAACGCAGCGCTTCGACGGCAAAGCCTCGCTGTCTCTTCATCACCTTGGCAAGGCAACTGGAAGCAAAAGTGCCTCTGTGCCGAAACTTCACTCTCTGATTCCTGCGACGCCTAGATCAACCCAGGCTCCCCTCCCCAAGGCAGTCTGAGACATCCCAAACAGCGCAAAAGCGATAGCCGCAGCAAGCATCCAATCCTTGGGACTTCGAAAGTATCGTCGTCATCGTCGTTGTGGCAATATCTACAACTACATCGGCATGTACCAAACGCAATCGGTCCAATCAGCTGCCTCCAGGCAGCATATCGTAAACACACAGCCAAGCCCATTGCCGAAGTGAAAGTTGTCACCACAGCTGACGGGGACAACAATCGAATCTCCAACCGATCTGCCAACCGCTGAACCTGGGAGCAACACACATTCGGACCAACATGCTCTGCTGTGCCCATGGTTGTCAAATTGTCCAGAAGCTTACCGGGCCTGGAGGCACAGGGCCACACCAGCCCAGGCAATACCTGTCAACGCTCTGCCAATGCTCGATGTGTGTCTGCGCGCATGTCTGCGCATGTCTGCGCATGTCGGTGATCGATCGCGATTGACCCATTCTTGCTGTGGTAACCTACTCTGCAATTGCATGTGGCAGTCGGATACGTACAAGTTGTTTTTGCCTGACTTGTAGGCATGCCAGCAGCGCATGCGCTGGTGGCTGGTGGTGCACGGTGAGCAAAGTTTCAAAGAGGCAAGAAGAAAGAAAGGTATAGCAGCAAGCGACGAGTTGGTGCAAAAATGTTGTTGGTCCTACATCAAAACCATGCACCAGATCGAGTCAAGACGGACTGTCAACTGGATGACAAGGCAGAGCTTGAATAGCTGTTTCATGGTCAGTCCCACTGTGCAAATGTTCAACTTCACCCTTCAGCGCTGATTCGCTTACCGACCTGCTCCAGCAGCTGCACGGATTATCCAGGGGCTGAGAAATCTCGGCCCAAAGTCCAGGTCCCGATAAGCGCAAAGCAGCCTTCAAGCACTCCAATGTCAAAAACTGTAGGCTCAACAAGCCAGACGGGGAAGCATCCCGCTATGCAACTTAGCTACGCCGCAAGCTGGCCCACAAGAAGAGCAATGACCAGCAGGAATGATGACGTGCTGTTGCCTTGGACGTTGGGCAGGGTAGCAGTTCAGATTCCAAAGGCACACAGCAGCTCGCAGCTTGAGCCACAAAGCTAACTTCAAACAAAATCCCCCTAAGCCCTAAGCAAGCCACAAAACTAACTTCCAATGACATTGCCCCCCTTAGAAAGCCAGCTGACTTCCAAAAAATCCCCCCGCCTCTGGCAAGCCACAACGCAAACTTCCAATAAAACTGCCCCCCTTAGCAAGCCACAAAGCTAACTTCCAGCAAAATTCCCCCTCAGCAGGCCTAGCTTCCCAAACAACTCCCCCGCCTCAGCAAGCCACAAAGCTAACTTCCAAAAAAAACTCAGCAAGCCACAAAGCTAACTTCCCCCCCCCCCCTTAGCAAGCCACAAAGCTTAAATCCAATGCCCGCTTTCCAAGCCACAAAGCTAACTTCCAATAAAATTCCCTTAGCAAGCCACAAATCTAACTTCCAAAAAAACATCACCTGAGGAAGCTGCGAAGCTATCTTCCAATAATTCTGAATGTGAAAGCAAGGGAGCAGTCAAACATCGTCATGCAGAGCGCCTGAAGAAGGAAAGCCAACGAAAAGTAGCCTCTTCTGCGCGCCTTGGCTTTCCGCGAGTGCCTCATGCACCTCATGCGCAGCATATGCCGCCTACTGCACCATGCAAGCCAGCCTGCAGCTCCTGTTCTGAATTCAGGGGCATGCGCGGACATGGCCTTCCTGCACATTTGTTCAAGGCTGCCAGGGATCGTTGTAGCCACCAGCATAAAGCTCTTGCAGCTCTGCTCTGGAAGCCAGGAAGCCAAGGACGCTCGTCAGCTCCATCAGTCTGCAGTTAAAGCTGCGCGGAACCAACAGGTTGTCAATGTCATCTTTTTCCCCCGGCCGGTGCCAGTACAAATTGCGAATGACACCTCACCGTGCAAATGTTCAATGTGCGAAAGAGAATCGCAGCTGGCAAGCCAAATCACTTCGTAAACGACTTGTTGGCACACGTCGAGACCAGGAGACTCACCAAACATGCTCCGCAGAGCAAAGAACTGGTCACGCGCAGGCTCCTGTCCAACTTCACAAGACCGACTCTGTCTGGATTGCAGTCTGAGAACTGAGATGTGTAAACAGAACCACTCCGGCAACCTGCCTGTCGGAGGTTAGTGCAAGACAGGAGGAACTCATGGCATTGAAGCTAGTTCTCACAGCAACTTAACCCGGTAGAACCCAATAACAGTTGGAAAGCCAGCACCTGGCACAAATCGATGGCACCTTAGTGCTGGTGCGATCAAGCTATTACATGCAGGACCTTAGACCATCTTCGACCTATCTTAGACCTAGGCTGGGACATGTCAGTTGCCAAGCCAATGGCTGCTTGAATAAGAAAAGGCTTCAAACCTCTGGCTGGGAGGTTGTGGCATGGTGAGCATGTCCCCCAACACGGCGACACCGCCACAGAAGACTCCACCCCCAATCAACAACCGTGGCCGACGTGTTGTTTCTCTGCCCGCACGATGTACATCCAAACTCATCCGAACTGATTCTAGCTGCCACTTCAAAAAGGAGCGGCCCCTGAGTCTCAGGCACAGCAGCCAAGCCCTCACTCAATCGCAACGTGTGGGCTCCGTTTGGCTTACTCGGACTCTGTCTGCGGGTAGAAGTGGTGAACTTTAATGCGCACATTCTCCTCTAGCTGGCCCGTCTTCTCCAAGCGGCCTTTGACCTCACAAAACAGAGTTTCTCAAAGCGGTCAAGGCTGTGTGTGTATGTGCGTGTGTGTCTGCGGCTAAGCTGACCACGTACAAGAACAGCGGGCTCTCTGCGAAGTGGTCATAGTTGTCGCACTTGTACGGCGTGTGGCACCAGAGGTAGAAGTAGCCCAGGCCTGTACATGAGGGCTCAAATATGTGGACATTGGTCAGCAACTGCTTCTGCATTGTTGGAGCTGTTCTAGTGGGTAGTACTATGACACTAGCATCTCGCATTAACAAGCTGTGTCATGTCCCACGCAAAGCTGCCAGAACCCCTTGTAGCAAATTCACAGTTTGCTAGGTTCAGGTGAGACACCGGACAGGAAGGAGATTTGGACATACCGCAGCATGAAGCGAACCTGCTGGCCAGCTTCAGCAGAAGGTGATGAACGAAACAATGTCGGTTCAGTACTGATGTGCTTTCTCTACCGTGCCTTATCGCGACTGAAGTATGGGAAGAAGCGAAAGACCCAGTCCACCGGAATAAACGGGAAGGAGTCCTTGCTGGCCTTGCAGCGATCACCAAACGCTGCCGCATCATGCCAACGCGTGCCACTGGGTGCCAACACATACACACACAAAAAAACAACGGCAAGAAATGCAGACTTGCAGCGATAACAATTCGATCAGCCCTGCCCCAGCCCGTTGCCTGCGTCAGGCTCCGCGGCAGCGTGGAAGCTGTCCGCATAGCGAGGGCCGCTCGGAGCAGGGCCATGGCTGGCACGAAGAGGCAAAGCCAAGATCGAAGCTCTGAGCTTGAGCCACAGTGTCCCCACGATCGCAGCAGTCCTAGCATGCTAGCGCACCATCAGCGAACTGCCAGCAACTTTACGGCCCCGCGGCCTGGACATTCTGACACACTGACATGCTCAGGTTTCACAGGTGGACTCTTAAGCATGCTTCGCCTGACATTGATCGTGCTCGTCCAGTCTGACTCCACCCCCAATCAACAACCGTGGCCGACGTGTTGTTTCTCTGCCCGCACGATGTACATCCAAACTCATCCGAACTGATTCTAGCTGCCACTTCAAAAAGGAGCGGCCCCTGAGTCTCAGGCACAGCAGCCAAGCCCTCACTCAATCGCAACGTGTGGGCTCCGTTTGGCTTACTCGGACTCTGTCTGCGGGTAGAAGTGGTGAACTTTAATGCGCACATTCTCCTCTAGCTGGCCCGTCTTCTCCAAGCGGCCTTTGACCTCACAAAACAGAGTTTCTCAAAGCGGTCAAGGCTGTGTGTGTATGTGCGTGTGTGTCTGCGGCTAAGCTGACTACGTACAAGAACAGCGGGCTCTCTGCGAAGTGGTCATAGTTGTCGCACTTGTACGGCGTGTGGCACCAGAGGTAGAAGTAGCCCAGGCCTGTACATGAGGGCTCAAATATGTGGACATTGGTCAGCAACTGCTTCTGCATTGTTGGAGCTGTTCTAGTGGGTAGTACTATGACACTAGCATCTCGCATTAACAAGCTGTGTCATGTCCCACGCAAAGCTGCCAGAACCCCTTGTAGCAAATTCACAGTTTACTAGGTTCAGGTGAGACACCGGACAGGAAGGAGATTTGGACATACCGCAGCATGAAGCGAACCTGCTGGCCAGCTTCAGCAGAAGGTGATGAACGAAACAATGTCGGTTCAGTACTGATGTGCTTTCTCTACCGTGCCTTATCGCGACTGAAGTATGGGAAGAAGCGAAAGACCCAGTCCACCGGAATAAACGGGAAGGAGTCCTTGCTGGCCTTGCAGCGATCACCAAACGCTGCCGCATCATGCCAACGCGTGCCACTGGGTGCCAACACATACACACACACAAAAAAACAACGGCAAGAAATGCAGACTTGCAGCGATAACAATAATTCGATCAGCCCTGCCCCAGCCCGTTGCCTGCGTCAGGCTCCGCGGCAGCGTGGAAGCTGTCCGCATAGCGAGGGCCGCTCGGAGCAGGGCCATGGCTGGCACGAAGAGGCAAAGCCAAGATCGAAGCTCTGAGCTTGAGCCACAGTGTCCCCACGATCGCAGCAGTCCTAGCATGCTAGCGCACCATCAGCGAACTGCCAGCAACTTTACGGCCCCGCGGCCTGGACATTCTGACACACTGACATGCTCAGGTTTCACAGGTGCAGCTGCGAAGACACAGAGGGGGACTTGCCTCGAGGCTCCGCCTTCGCTCTTGGATGCAGACCGTGAGGGGCTCCCTACTAAAAAGAATGTTCCTTGTGTATCTTGTGTTGCTTGCACATGCTTCTCGAGTCACAAATGGCTGCTTCAGCAGGTCTCACCGTCATTGATTCGTGAGGATGCTAAAAACTCCACACTGACATTGGTCATTCGTCATTTGTCATGGCAGTAAGGCCCCCACCACCTTCATTAAGCGGAACATCCTTGCATCAGGTTTAGGCCAGACCAATGAATCTGGGACATTTCCAAAGACGCAATGACAGCCCGTAAACGTGCATTCGAGGAGCAGTTCGACCGGTTTGGAGGATGGCGACACTGCTCCAGCAACGAAACCTTCCTCTTGAGAAACCAACGGCCACCGCAATATGCATCCATCAAACTGGTGCTGCGACCAATCAATACAAACATATAGAGAGAGAGAGAGAGAGGCGAATCGGATCGAATAGGGCCCCTGCCTGCCAAAAACCGGAACAAGACTCCCCCCTACCGAGCATACCAAACAAAAAAAGACTGCCTCTGCGACTGTTGAGAGATTCCTATGCCCAGGAAAGCTGATATTCTGTGGCCGACCCAGTGTTCTCGGTGTTCTGAGTCTTCTCAGTGTTCTCAGCATTCTCAGTGTTCTCTCACGTTCGTCTCCTCATATCCCTAGTACAAGAGTGCCTGAGCACGGGCAGGCACGCCTTGTCAGCCATCGAGGCCGCCATTTCAGTAGGAGCACCGTCGATGTCGGGGCATTTCAGCAAAGCCTGCGCCAGAACGGTGGCAACTTCTCATGCTGCTTGCGCTGCGTGCTTACTGCTCAATCTTTGACGCGTGCCTGTGCTGCGTTCAAGGACAGTGCCACGAAGATACGTTGACCGTCCTCATCGTCGAGCTTTAAGGCTGCAACAGTTGAATATAGTAGAATGTAGTTCAACTAGTGTTCAATGTAGCGACATACTTCGAGGCTTAGGCTGGACCACCTCCATCACTAGCAGCCAGTCCTCTCCTAGCTCATCAACGCCGAAAGCCTCCATTTCGACGATGCTGGATCTCCACACCTCAACAAATGGAGAAGGCAGTGCGATGGATGAATGCATCCAATACTCATCAGATTCCTCTCCGAAAGATCCATGGAGAACAGTCGGTCGTTCATGTTGGATTTGACGCGGCCTGGTAGGCCTTGTAGTACTGCCCAGACTGAAAAAGAGCAACGCCTTCAGCCTCTCGCATGTTGACTTGACATGACTCGGCGGGACGCGCCGGCTATTACATTGCCAAACATGATCAAGCTTGGTATAGGCCAGCACATGGTCTGACGGACACTGCATCGAATTCTGCTGAGGCTTCGCGCCTTGTTTCGCTCTGCGTTCTGTACCTGAGCGTTCACCAGTTGTGTAACGATGGATATGTCGCAACTATGGCCTATCTGCAGTATAGGCGGGGCCGTGCGGCACTCCATGGATCTCCATGGTAGTCCCTCATGCCATGTGCCTGCGCGTCCTTGCCACCATCTAGCCGCAACTACTCGCCTGCGCTTGCCGGGATCAAGTCTTAAGACGGGGATGCAGCCTGTCCTGGTCCCCTGAGCCCCCCGTCAAGCTAAGTGTGCGGCTACCTTGCTCAACGGAGCCTGCCAGGTGCCACCACCATTCAGCTGATCGAAGTGTCTTCATCAGTATTGGGCTGGCCCGCGCGTGTCCTGACCCGTGCCTGCACTTGGGCAGGTCCGGAGGCAGCGAACTTTGCGTCAGCGCCGCCAACAGCCGCGCCTGGCCGACGACCTATGCTGCCCTGGCAAAACTGAGCCCTTGAGACTCGACTCGACCAAGCCTGCATAGCCTGCAAACTCCCTCTCTTGTAGGCCTCGGGTGTCGGACGGATAGAAGCCACGAGCGCAAGCGACATGAGTCTCGCAAAGCTTTCTGCAGTCGAGGACCCGCCCTACAACACGACATGAGGACACGAAACGAAGAAGACATGGGCCAGCAGCGGATTCGGAAACTGAAAACATGCGGATTCGGAAACTTGGAAAATCTGACTCGGAACTGGAACAAAAGGATTCGGGAAACTGAAAGCGCTTATTCGGGAAACCAGGAGTCGAGAAAGCCGCTGATTCAGGAAACTGGAAAACGCGCATTCGGAAACCGGGGATTCAAGAAACTCAAAACCGCGTATTCGGAAACCTCGCGGATTCGGGAAACCAGGATGTCCGGCAGGCTTGACATGAACGCTATCATCCCCCCCACCCCCCCCCCACCCCCCCCACCCCCCACCGCATGGTTTCCTGAACGCGCGGCTTGCTGACTCGCATGGTTTCCTGAATCGCGTGGTTTCCTGAATTGCATGTACTCAGTTCCCTGTATCGTGTGGCTTCCTGCATCGTGTGATATCGTGTGTTTTCAGTTTTTTGAATCGCGTGGCTATCGCCGTCCCCTGAATGGGGTGAAGGCAGTTTCCTAGTTTCCTGAATCGCCTAGTTTTCTGAATCCTAGGTGCTGAACCCTGGTTTCCTGAATCGCGGCTTGTTTCTGAATCGTGCAGGAACCGAAGACACGACACGAGGACGCGACGCGAAGACACAAGATACGAGACGACGCGATGCACAACACAAGGGCATGGCAGAAGACACTACGCAAGGCATCGTGCAAGGACGAGTACACGACGTGAGGACACGGCGCGAGGACACCACAGCGAAAGCTCTCGATACTCTCTCGATAACTCTCTCGATGCTTGGGCATGTTCCGGCAAGAAGTGCGCAAATACCTCTCAGTTTGCGGTGGGCTCAAGAAACACCTTTACAAGCCGAAGGATGGACACTTTCATACTTCTAGCAAGTGTAGGAACTCAAGTTTATGCAAAAGCGTGTGCAACCATATCATTGGGTGCACCTTGCCCGCATGTAAACAACACGAGCGTGCAGTGCCGAAATCAGACCGACTTAGGGAGATTCTCACTACAGTTCAACGCAGAACTGCCAACATAGAAAAGGATCATGCTAAAGGCAGCAACGTACACCACAACACACTGCAAATCCCGAAAGTAACATCTACAAGTGAATGTGATGGATGCTCCATGGTCAGACAAAGTTGTTGTGGTCCTTCATATGGATGTTAAACGCTGTCCTGTGGAAAGAGGGCACCAACCCATCTATGGCAATCCACGCAGTCTACGGAGCCGATGAAACTAAGCAGCTTCCTCACCACGCTGTTTTCTGGGATCAAGTACGAGACTGTCCGAAGCCGCAACTTGCCCTGCGCTAGGGAAGCACGGGTTGACGTCCTACAATGGCTGTGCGCAACTTACACTGAAAAGTCTCTGGTGCACTTAGCAGCAAACACTGATTCGACTAGAGCTTCAATGGAACGAGACGTTGGCTAGGTAGACTTTGTGAGCTTTTTGTTGAACTCAAGGGGCTCGCCATGTTGTAGATATGCTTGAGGCTTCTTTTTGCTTCCTTTCAGGTCACTCAATGAATCAAGCCATGCTGCCGGGATCACTTAGCAACGATTTTTCCGTATCACTTAGCCACATCGGATCCGCACCATTTCGGATCACTTAGAAACCATTTTGTCCAGTCCCTTAGCAACCTTTTGTTTCGGCCCCTCGCAATTCCGGTTCATCATATATCTTGAACACGCCTCCTCATTTGGCGATTCATGTATCTCAAACACGCCCCCTCAAGTAGCGATTCCCGTTCATCATATATCTAAACGTGGGATATTTCTGTCTCTTGGGGGGGTCGCTCTCTGATGTGTGGTGATGCGACACGTATGCCCCAATGTTGTGGCCAGCGTTGTGTAGGCCCATATCTTTAGGGTTTGTGCCACCCTCATACGCAGTGGTTGGCTTGCTCCGCGCCGCCCTCAGAAGTAGTGGAGGCGTTTGGAGGAGGCTGCATGCTTTGCTTCGTTGACATGTGTAGTGCTTTTGCACCTGACGAAACACACCATTTCATGATATATCTTAAACACGCCCCCTCATTTGGCGATTCCATGTCCTCATCTATCTTAAATACGCCCCTCACGTGGCGATTCCGGCACATCGTACATCTTGAACACACCCCCATTCCTACTCATCATATATCTTAAGCTTCATCATTCATAATATATTCCGCCCCCTTATTGGCGATTCCGGTTCAGCATATATCCTAAACACGCACCCTCATTTTGCAATTCCGGTCCATCATGTTTCCTACACCCCGCTGGCATGCTGCCAGGCCCCAAAACAACACATTGCTAGGTGACTAAGAAGCGTTGCTAGCGATCTTGAAAGAAAGTTGCTAAGCGAACCCTTTACGCCCCTTGCACCCGTCAAGTTCTCCACTGTACATGCCCGATCCCCGAGCGAGAACCCCTCCGCATGTTCGAGAAGAGAGTGGGCGGAAAGCGGGTTTGCATGTTGAAAGCATTGGAGAAGAGCAGCATCCAAGGATGAAGCTCTCTGACAGCAAACAGACGTGTCATGAACTTGACAGCAACAAGCAAGCAACAAGTACATAAGCAACACGCCATTGGCTTCGATGGTCGAAGTCTCGCATGGCTCATTGTCCAGCTGCGGGCCTCAAAGCTGACAGAACATTCAACGACGCATTCGGCAGACATGATTCCTTCAATCCAGCATTTGGCCAAGCACATGGCCGCCCACAATCTCTACCTCAGTTCGTTGAATAGTCCGATGTGCCCATGTTCGCTTCATCTTTTGCTTTGGCTCAGACGTTGAGGTCAGGAAGTTGCTGCGAGTCCACGTCATCCTGCCACGTCAACCAGAAGCACCCGTCAAGGCTTTCAGGAAAAGTCAGGACTCAACAAAGCTGAAACATCCCAAAAATTGAGAAACATCAAGAAACATTTAACCCGCCCCATACAAAATGCTAGACGTCAGGAAAATTTGAGGAAGCAGTCGCAGTACTAGTCGTACCAAAAAGCGCATGCGTTGCACGGCTTACATCGAGCCGGGGTGTGGGGGAGCGAAGGAGCAAGGGGGGCGGGGGGGGCGGTGGCATCTTGTTTGCCAATGGCGGGGTGGCTGCTCCCCCCCCTTTAAGCCGTGCCAACTAGCTTCAAAGAACTTCAAGAACATCACGCCATCATCAAACAAAGCCATATGAATCTCTTCCACACGGGTGCGCCCCCTCGCAACCCCCTCGCGCCTTTAAGACGTGCCAAGTTGCTTCAATTCAAAGAACTTCACAGAAGATCGCGCCACCAGCAAACGTTCCTTCCAAGCCAAATGAATCCTTGCTCAACCCTTTTGAAGCAAGCTGCTTTCAAGGAATGTCTACTGATGGCGCGATCTTGTTTGAAACAAGCTTGCCCGGCTTAAAAGAGCGGAGGGATTGGGAAGGTGCCCCCCCCCTTTTTGCACATTCCCATTAAACGATTATACCATAAAACCATGAAGCCATTAAACCAATCGTTTTCCACCTGTGAGAGTACCTCAACCCAATAACCCACTAAACCACTTTTTTACCACCAGGACTGCGCAGCTGCCGGGAAATGCAGGCCCACACAACCAGCGGGAACGACTGGTTTGATGGGTTAGGGCTTGAACGCTATTCTCGCAGTGCAGAAGCAACTGGTTTGATGGTTTAATAGAGTGCAACTAGGAACATGCATGGATATAACCACGGTCTGTGGTAGTTCTGAGCTTATCCTTCTGTGACTGTGTGCGTTTCAGTCTGTAGCAAAGGACAGCTATACAGAGACAACCCATGTGCCAACAAACATAACTACGATCATCACGGCTAGATTCTTGTTTTGCTTTTGGGCTGGCTGATTCATTGAATAACTATTCTAGTCGGGCTAGTCTTTTTTCTTGTAACTAGGGCTAGCTACGGCTATTTTCATTGAATTACCAAGAACAACGACGAAAACATTTTCCCGCTCAATTGGCCCGTCGGTTGTCCCAACAGATACCCTCATTCTATTTCAATATTCCCTGGCCACGTTTAGAGTAGTATATTATCCACAGTCATGTAACAACAGTGGAAGTGCTGTTCATGCGATAAAGCAAGATATGCTTCAGTTGAAGGCCATATGCCAACTTTTTGCAGTTGCAACACCAAAACAAACGGACTCGCATCAGTAAGTCTAATCATCAGGATGAGCCTTTGATGCTTCATGATTATCAACCACGTAACTCAACAAAAAAGCCACGGCTTCATGACAGAGCTTGTGGGATGATACTTTTGAGTCGCGACTTCCACAAGTTCAGACTGTACATCGCCTCAGTAGTCAGCTAGTTCAATTCCGTGTACCATTACCCGGTCCGTTGCAACTGCAAACCAATTCTTCAAGGGCCTTTCATCACATAATTGATAGAACGCTGCCGCGTAATATGTCGGAAATATTAAAAACCCCACCCCAAGCCAAAAAACACAATTGTTCGGACAGTTCGGAGAGTTAACATTCATTGGAGGTCAACTACGACTTTGCATTCATATTGGTTGAATGGCCGGGAAGATTGGAAGACAACGAAGGACAGCTCCTGTGACAACCAATGTCCCAACAAAACTAGCTATGATAACATTATTTGCATCTCCGTTTACTCCCAAGCTTTATATACATTGATGGAAAAGCATCTATACAACTGATTTGGCTATTGCCTTTGATACGGTTATGCCTTTTAAGCAACCTCGCGATATTCGGAGCGGAAGTGCCAACAAATAAAACAGTATGTACCGAGCAAGTACACAGGACAACTGCTGATAATCGGCGACACATGTACAATTATAAAGAACGCCTTTGCCACTTCAGTTTGAAGCAAGCTTATGTGAGCTTGAAGCAAGCTTCCAAAAACCCACTGACGCACTCTCTTCCACTCCCGCGCCTCACTGCGCGTGAGGCCTTGTGAGGCTTCCTGGGTCAACGGTTGACAGCACGCAGAACAGAACTGCATGAAATGCAAGTGGAAGCAGGCAAGACAAACAGGATTCCTGGCTTTGTAGCGAAATACAGCTGGCCGAGAAACAACCTAGCTACTGCCGATGTCTTGTACATCGGCAAGAAAACAGAGCGGAGTCCTTAGGACGCCCTTCGAAGGTCTATCCGAACACGCAAGCGTACTCAGTTGTCAAAGCGCGGCCTTGGTGAGAAACACCTGCCAATCACAGGGATCTCTAGACTTCTCTTTTAAACCGATTGATCATGACATTTGAATTTGTCATGGGAATACATACACGGAGAATCTAGCCCGGCACGGCTGCGCCACTGCATATGCCAGAGAAACGCAGCCCACTCACTCGCTAGCTTTCCGGCCTCTGCTTCTTCAACCGCATCATCTCTTAGAGAAGACCCACTCCGCAACAAGCGAAGGTGTGACTGGGCAGCATTCAATCTGTAGTTCACACGACCGTGAATGACAGCATCAAGCAAGCTCTGTAGCGACTTGCCCCACAGGTTAGAGCGGCTGAGCCTGGGGCAGCACTGCGCTTCAGTTCAAATTCCGCACACACCCGTCTCAAATCATCCAGGCTCATTTCGAAGATGCAGATCTGCATGCACAGCCTGCACAAGTGTTGCTTTGCGTTGCTGATTCTGGAAGCACTTGATGGCCTTACTGGTCGATGGTCAGAAAATGTCGGGCTCTCCAGCCGCTCCTTGGGCACGCCAGTAAAGATATCTGCAAACATCACGGCAAGTTTCCAGAAGCGACAACACTGAAGCCCAGTGCAGGATCAAGACACGTATCGCGGCGACCCTTCTTGCCTCACCTTCCGCCGGGCACGCCACATGATGCGGTCGCACCACGCGGGTGAGCGCTTCTCATCCTCAGAAATGAGTTGCGTGCTTGAGCCACGAGGAGGCTAGGAGCGTCACATCCCAAACCACATGTCGCAGTACAGCAGGCAGCCTCTCATAAGCATTTTGCTGGAATGGGAAGCCATATGCAGCCATGCATCATATGCTGCTTCGGGCACTTGTGCAGCACCTTCATTGCCTGCCTTGTTCGGCCATGGCTTTGCGCAGAATTTGTAGCCTTAGCAGTATCTCAACAGGTATGCGCCGATACATCATGGTCAGCACGCATTGCCTGACTTACCTTCCTTGCTTCAAATGGTGCCAGAAACTGGGGTGGAAGTGGATCACGGCTTCCTCAAAAGCAGCGATAGAGCCACTTGCAAGTCGTCGACGGTTCAGCTCGTCGAACTCAAGCCTCGAACCGGCAGCGCGCTTAGATTGCACTCCAAGTGTTTGCTAAGGCCCTTAGGCCCTTTGGGGCAACGGAATTCTCGGAGTTGAGGGATGTTGCACAGATCATAACTTACACCGAAAGGCAACGATGCTGTTTGGTGCTGTTGCAGCATCGACAAGACCTGCAGGCGGAAAGGCACAATCGTGCATTGGCAAATCTCCTGGGCACTGTTTCTGAAAGCTTCCTCGCAAGCCTGGCACTCAAGCCAAATCGGAAAACCAACGGCCTGATCTCGATGCATCACCTCCGTCATCCGCTCATCTCGCCAAAGGCGCATATTGAGATCGCCTGCGCATCACAACTGATGCCATTGATTCTGCACTTTCGACAGCTAGGCATGAGGTTGAGTTGCTGCACGGGCTTGTGCATTGACCTGCTTCGAAAAAATAACCTGGGACCACACGCTCCGATTTTCATCCAACAGTCAGGGGTCCGTATTGGAACGGGCCATCTGAGTTACAGTACTCTAGGTAACCGTCACTTCCTGACCGTGCGAAGGCAACACGCAAGTCATGTTACTAGGGGAGAGCATGGGTCGTCGGGGCTAGGGTTCGGGGTGCAGTACCTCAGCGGCGCATGTGGTGCTGTCGATGTCGCGTCCTTCCGTCCTTCCGTCCTTCCGTCCTTCCGTCCTTCCGTCCTTCCGTCCTTCCGTCCTTCCGTCCTTCCGTCCTTCCGTCCTTCCGTCCTTCCGTCCTTCCGTCCTTCCGTCCTTCCGTCCTTCCGTCCTTCCGTCCTTCCGTCCTTCCGTCCTTCCGTCCATGGCACGCATGACGATTAGACAACGTTCGTGGTTTCCATGACTGCTAAAACAATTCATGGCGTACATGACTGATATAACATATAACGCTTGTGGCTTCCATGACGGTTGGACGACGTTCATGCCGCGTTCGCGGTGGCCTTGACGGTTGGAGAAGGTTCATGGCATTTCATGGCTTCCATGACGGTTGGGCAATGACGGTTGGAAAACGTTCATCGTTTTTGGGTACCCTGATGATTGTTAAATCCCCAACATGACAACTTGAAGCGCCGGCCTGCCCAAACAACAAGGTCATGCTCGAAGATGTTGCCTTAGCTGACTATGCACGGCTGTGCATGGCTTTGTTTCTTGTTCACGTGCTCTTCCAAACACTGCCGGAGGTATACACTTCCGAATACGTAGCATGCACTCACCAGAAGTATGCTGCACTCAAGGCACGAGCATCTTGCACGTCTGCTCGCAGTAGGCTATTGGAGCCGCTGACGCCACTTGACACTCTTGTATCGCTCGTGAGGCGCAACGTCTGAATGATGTAATCGAAATCCTTTTCAAAAGTGCAAGCGCTTCATAACCTTCAACTCATTTGCTTTTGACACTTTCTCCGAAGAACTTACGCGCCGATGGCAAGTCCAAGAGGTCCTGAGCTCGCTCCTGTGAACTTGAGATGCTTTCGCCAGCTGCCAAGTGCACGTTCACAAAGCAAAAGGAAGTAGATCCCATGACCTAACCATGATGCTTGCTTGCTTGATGCATGTCCGATGAAAACTCTTGCGCACTCAAAACATCAACCTGGGCTTGGCATGTCGAAAAGATTCCATCCTGCGAAGTTTTGCGAGCTTCAGCTCGCAAAACACAATGCGCATATCAACACCCGCTGGGCTGCAACCGGCTGTGTTTGTTCGGTGTTTCTGGCATGCGCTGAATGGTCGACATTCACGGCTCCTGATCTGCAGCCTCTCAAATGCTCAGATGCAAGACACACAGCGGCTCGGTCGGCACAAAAGTCTGAATGGAAAGCACTGGAAAACGTTATACTTTGGGCGCAAAAACGAGGCTCCGCTTCTGGGACAAGTTCACCTGAGAACAAAGCGCGCGGGGGCGTGCGGGGGCGCGCGCAGCCGCACGGGGGGCGCGGGGGCGCGGTTTTCTTTCACCTTGCTTGTCCGCGTCTTACGAGCGTTGCATGAGTGACCTTTAGCAGCTTCGAAAGACTGCTTCGGGGTCTGTGCCCCCAGAGTGTTTGCAAGTGACCTTGCGTAGGAAGTCCTCGTATTTCCGAGACTCTAGTGCTTCGAGGTCGAGGTCCCCATCTGTCTCCCTCCTTCTCGCTGCCTCTGACGGCTTGCGCGCGAACACTGTAGGCGGTCCCTGTAATTCCGTTGCCTGACCATCGTACTTTGCTGTCTTTGAGCTCCGGCTGCGCTTGCATCATTCGAAGCAGGAAAATCAGTCAAGAGCGCTTACTGCATGAACAATGACCCCTTCTTTGAAGGGTGTGTGTGTGTGTGTGCAGAACCTGTTTCCTATGAACTGAGTCGAATTGTCAGTTCCTGAACATGAGAGCAGCGGGCGGTTGCAAACATTTTCCAGCAGGGGGACAGTGGACATTCTGGAAGGCACTGCTCAACGAAGACCTTTCCAGTCTGTCGTGATATCTTTGAGGGACGCCTCGAAGACGTACCTGCAATGAGAGTGTTTGTGATGTTTAGGAAGCTGCGCAGTGATCTTGACTGTATATATGACAAACAGTACATCTCACGATCTTTTAAAGATCGTGAGATGTACTGCTTGTCATCAACCTTTTGCATCCGGGCTGATGACAACCTACAATGCAGATAACCGAACGACGGAAGAAGAAGAAGAAGAGGATCCGGCTGAACAGTGATGTTCAAGTGTGTGTGTGTGTGGGAGCCCTGATTTTAAGCCAAGCGTTTCTGGAAGGTTTCCTTTTCTGCCCGGGCCTTTCATGTCTTGCAGGGGGCACTGGGGGCTCCAATCAGCCCGGCGCTAACAAAGGGTCGGACCCTTTTCCATTTGGGAAAACAGTGTTCGAAAGTCAGGCGCTCAAGCAATAGCTTCGTGGTCATGATGACTTCACGACACTCTAGTGATTATTACCTGTTCAGGTTCGTAAGGATCGAATGATTGATTTCTCCAACACCATGATCGTCACAGGTTGAAGGTTAGTGGATTACCACAATTTGCCTGTGTGCGCGAAAACGTGCGCTCGCGCTCCTGCGTGCGCGTACATGTGTGTTTGCCCGATCCTCGCTGGACTGTAGCTTGCTGGTCTGGTGGGTTGTCACGGTCAACCGTTCCCATGTCGTATCCTGTGGTGGGGCCGCGGGTTTAGTCCTAGAGACAGATGCGGCGCAACCTCTGTGCTGCTTGCTCGGCTTGGTCGCGAGCTCGTGTTCTGGCAATGACAAGCTCTGCCTATTTATCCCCAACATAAAGCTAAGCGGCAAGTCCGAAAGCCACTGCGCCCTTGTTTCCAGCACCAAGGGTCCCGCAGCGCGCTGTTCCCCAACAGGTCCTAAGGACCCATCTACTGAGTCTACTGATGTACTCTCTCGTCCGAGAATGATCCGGTCAATCCGAGGATCTGGGATATCTGCGGCACCAGATCCTCAACAACATAGAATAGCAACTGCAACCCAACCATTGCATGATTGGCCAGAAGACGATAGGAGCCTCAGTGGGACAAGGGAAGTGATGAATCAGCCGGTCTGGGCTCCACATTTGCAAAACGACAAGCTTGAGGAAAAGCAAGGCAACCTCGACGCTCGACAGCAGCCGTTACCGAAGATGACCAGGCCGCGTGGTACTGTGTGCTGGAGATCTCTGTCACATCCATTGCCAATGCCAACGGACAGGTTTCCTGAAGCGCCACGAAGAGCATATCCTGAGACTAGCAGGCACAAAGCACCGCTACGAAGCACGGCTCAAGTCGACAGTGTATCGCCACAAAATCTCCTGAGCATTAAATTTAAAGTCACCCGTACGCGGTTTCGACACTGCTGTTGGCGATGCGAGAGCATTTACGTAGCTCACCGTACACGGCTTCACTGCGCTTGGAGATGTAGTGTGGTTTCGACGCTGCTCGAGAGGTATAAGGCAGCTTTCTGATCCCGAGCCTTTGGGCCTTTGGGCCTTTGGGGGGGGCTTAGCCGACCCAACCGTGAAGGCAGACAAGGCGGAGTTGGTAAGAGACTCGGCTCCCACGAGCTTTCGTGATTTGAGGTCTCTCTGGCGCTTCTCTAGGCCCTTCAAAGCAGGGAGTGGCAGGGTGCAGCATGCTGCATCCAGAGAAGTTCTTTGGGACTATGGGATGCAAAGAAACGCTGCAGAATGGCCCACGTTATTGCATGTTCCTTGAAAGAAAATACTTGAAACCCGACCACCCAAGCAGCCATGAGCCAAGAAGGCCATGTAACAGTGAAGTTTGGAGGGGATGAGAAGGGCTCGTCCTACATCCCCGTGTCCAGGATAGCTAGATCATGACTCATCTCCTTGTGTTCCGTGTTCCTAAACTGACCCGACCTGTAGAGGCATGCTTGGTCGGAAATGTGTATTTGCGCATTCGTGATGGCAGCACCAAAGGTACGTCTGACGCGGTGCGACCCGTCATGACCCATCTATGAGTGATGGAACTCATATTGGAAGTGTTTGAGAGGCAGCAAATGCACGGAACCAACTTTTGAAGGAACTAGCGCGCCAAGTGCCCGTCGATAAATCAAGTCGGCGAGGCTGTTGCAAACATATTCGTTAGTTTCAGGTGTAACACTGGTGTCGCTTCGCTTCAGAAGGATTCGATTGAAAACTAAGCTTTGACAAGATTTGACCCCACACCCAGCGAGAATCCCACAGAGAATCCCACAGACAATCTTGCCGAGCATGCCGGGAGCGCCAAACCGCAAAGACTTTTTCAGAGAATCCTGCCATCCTTGAAGAGCCCAACCCCAGAGCGTCCCACAGAGAATCTCGCACAGAATCACGCCGGGTGTCTCTCGCACAGAATGCCGAGAATCTCGCCGAGTATCCCTGCTGTACCCAACCGCAGAGAATCCCACCGAGAATCCACCGAGCATCCCGAATGATTAATCCATCCACTGGCATCCACCCCCAGAGAATGCCTGCAGAGTCCATTTCTGGAGGGCCTTGATGTGCCGTATCCAGGAAGAGCAAGCGCTGCAGAATCCTGCAGCAGTATTATTTCATGACCTGTCCGAACAGGGCCCGATGGCTCCCACGTTAGCTGCAGGGTGGGCATGATCAGACTTACAGCGGCCCCATGTCATAGCAAGTCTCTGGCATCACATCCACCCCCTCAAAAAAGTGGTCGATGTCGTGCACTGTGGGCATGTGGGCGGCGCCATTGAAAGTAACCTCATGAGAAGCAAGCATGACCATGCATGACCAACATTTGAATTGCATGGTTCTGCTTTTGCCATCCCAGCCGCTGTCAAGATGCTGCGCCTCATTTCTTCCGAAAAGTCTGTCTGACGTTCCTTAAGGAATGGCTGAATGTTCCTTAGTGAGCAAACTCAATCCCTCTCAATCCCAGCCATTGCTCTCACACTAAGTGTTGCCTGGGTCCTGCAGCCGGGAATCCGCCATGATATCTGTGGCTCAATGAGCATGCGAAGATGCCTCACTGCCGAACAAAAAAGACCGCATGCCAACAGTCGTACCATCAAACCGTGGGAACTGAATAGCGGGTTTTGGGCAAATATCCATCTGCCACGGGGCGTGTCTTGAAAGATCAAAGACGCCATTTTCTCAGGCTTCTTTCGTTGCCACATGGGCCTCGAGGCTTTCTGAACAGCCATTGGTAGACGATCAGCTCCGTAGCCTTCGACTGGGCAGAATTTTCCAGCACTCGATAAATGACAAGTCTGACGCCTGACTGCTGCAGACTAAGAGGCTGTAGATCCAGTCATGATTCGTGTCTTTGGACGGGAAATCGTACCGATGGCTGTGGGCAGTGCCGTGCAAATCCTTCAATCGTCCAGAAAATGCCTTGCCAAGCTTGTTGCGAAAAAAGCGCACGCATGCAGGTGTCGGGACCTGTCGGGACCCTGCCTCTGGAGTCAGCCGACTAAGTCTCGGAGGTGTCCCCGCGAAAGTCTGGATATGACTGTCCTCTGACAATCCATCCAAGATCAAGAAAACCTTGGTAGAAGGACAACCACCCCACCATGACTTTTGCCCAGCCTGCTGCGCTAACCATCACACTAACGCAAGCTATTTTGCGCTTGACTCAGAACCCTGTGAAGTTCACTGGGACACAGGAAATACCTTCCATGATCACTGGGGCTGTGCGGATGCATGTGTTGCATCATACTGCCAGTACTGCTAGTCACTAGTGATTGCTAATTCCTTCGGGCTACTGGACAGAAGCAAGAGGCTCAAACACAAATCAGCACCGAGCAGCTTGGCCATCAGACTGCGGGTGCATCGACGGCGGAAACCGGCATGGCTCCACCAAAATATTTCGGCACAGCGGGATCGCGAGGACCAGCTCCCTGGAGGGCGCAATGCTTTCTGATGCTTGCAGCGCAGTAGGACACGATGAAACAGTAGACCACCCCAACATCATGAGGATATCATGAGGGCAGCAAACTAATAACTCTAAATCGCAGAGGGCAAAGAAATTGCTCCCATCATCCCGCCCGCCTGGTTCCACAACAGTCGCCACAGTCTCCATGACCAAGCACGAAGACAGCAGACTCAGTGGGCCTAAAGCGATTGCGCACTAAGAGCGCGTACAAAGCCGCACGCGTGACCACTTCGTTCTCGAACACATCCACAACTGCGGAGGCCTGCAACACAGGATTGGGCAATCATTCAATGATGGGAACTGCAACACAAACCGATGTGCTCCCAACGTGAACCCTTCGTGGCTGCAGCTCCTGTCATCTCAGAAATGAAAACCTGAATCTTCTGGTGAGCCCCCTCCTGCTCACGCAACTCCTCTTCTGACTGCGTCTGGCACCGATCGCAGTTCATGCATCTTCATGCATCCTCGTGCATCCTCATGCATCCTCACGCATCCTCATGCATCTTCATGAATATTCAACCCTCTGCAACAATGATCAAGAATGTGAGTCAACAACATTGTTGACGTTCGGCAGTGCCGGCGCCCCTTGCTGCCCTTGCGGAAGCAACAATTCAATGCCTCGATATATGCTCACTTGGCAACTTGGGGGATGGTCCAAAGGTGGGGAGACGACTCCGGCCATGCCGCCATGCTCCGGCCGCGTGCCTGTGCAACACCCTGCGCATAGCACGAAATGACAGCCCCAGCCCGTCTCTGTGGCTCCCGTCTCTGAAATTCCAATGCACCATTGAAAATCGAAAACCTGGAAGAGACCATTCGTGCTGAACAAAGAAACGGCTGCAACCTTTGCAAGAGCGCGGGGAGCATGCAAATGGGGTGTAGCCTGAAAAGCAACATTAAGGCAGCCACACAGTTGTATGCTCAGATAGTCACATAGTCAAACACTCAGAAGGAGGTCGAATTGAGCCCCCGCAGAGTGCTTAAAAGCAGCCAAAAGCCAAAGGCTCCCTTCATTTAATGACAACACGAAAGAGAAACTCAGACTGTGTTTTTGCAGTATGCAATCGATTTAGCAGAACCATCTCCAGAAACCTTTTTTTCTGGGGTTTCAGCCTTGCTTGGCACAAATACCTAGATAATCCATTCCTCTTCCAGGTCCTTGGAACTAAATCTTCCAGAGATGCATCTGACACACCGACATAGCCTTTCCTTCCAAGCGTTGGGCTGTCTTTTTGGCAGTTCTACGAGCTTCCAAACAACATGCCAAGTTTGACCTGCCTTTCTTGGTGATAAAACATGGCATGAAAGCACCAGGGTGATCGCACATGGTGTGGGTTTGGAAATCATACTTTTGCTTTAGAAAAGAACCGAGTCACCTTCGACATGTTGCTAGCCGACTGGACTTAACTTACAGACTTGCCAGGGCTACTCACGTAAACCGCGCCAAAAACAGCACAGTGAGTAGCAAGACTTGACAACCTCCCATGCAAGCCTCGGCGAAACCCAGCAACTCCTCACTCGGCTGCACAAAGTGTGTGGACAACTGCGCTGGAACGAAGCCGCAGGTAGAGAACAAATCCATCGGCCTTCGGAAAGGAACACAAAAATTCGTGGAGCCATGCACGTGGCAATTACATTGAAAATCTGATTGACAAACAGTTCTTGATTCTCTTGCTCCTGCGTGCAGACCGAGCCTATGCAGGAGCACATGCTAAAATCTTCCAGCTGCCATGGCACCCTTCAAGAGCTTGTATCAACCCTGTTTTGTTCGCCCAGTCCACGCTGCTGGGTCGCTTCTGCCGGGCTTAAATTAGGCACTTAACTTGAGTGTTAGCGACTGTTCGAACAGTATGTACAAAGAGGGAAGGCTGGTCTAATCTTGATCAAATTCAGCAGACTTTGGATTTCTGACACTTTTCTTGATTTCTTGAAACCGGACTCATGACATGATATGAACCAGAAACCTGCAAGATCCTGCGGTTGCCAAGGGGTGCCCAAGACATCACACTCCACAAACCCCTCCCAAGCATTGCCCAAACTAGGTCACGCGCGCTAGGTCACTGGTGGATTCGTGGCGCTTGCATGCGCCTATTTCCTAGGAAAAAAAGGAGAGACCTAATTACTTCAAAATTTGGCAGTTTGCAAAGCCCTTGCAACAATTCAATTACTTTTCTAGAGAAGTTAGGTTGCTTGTTGTTGTTTTGCGGTCAGTGAGTAGTCTTAATGCAGGTTCACAAAATGTAATTCAAAAAAGCTGATAGAAGCCACGAATTGAGCACAGGGCAACCAAAAGAGACGCGGCGCACGACACGTGATCCGAACTGAAGTGTGATCTCCGTCTCTCTTTCTCTCTCTCTCTCTCTCTCTCTCTCGCTCTCTCTCTCTCTCTCTCTCTCTCTGTGTCTCTCTATCTGATTCTCTTCATTCTCTCCCTCGATATGTCTCTCACCTCTCTCTCTCTTTCTCTCTTTGCTCTCAGTCTCATGTCTTTCACTCTCGCTCACCTCTCTTTCTGTCTCTCTCACATCTCTCACATCTTGCTCTCATCTCTCCCTCTTTCGCTCGCTCTCTCTCGCTCTTTCTCTCTCTGCCTCTCGCTCTCTCTCTCTCTCTCTATCTCTCTCTCTCTCTCGCTCTCTCCCTTTCTCTTTCTCCCTCCCTCTACTGTACATCTCTCATCTCATCTCTCATCTCATCTCTCATCTCATCTCTCATCTCATCTCTCATCTCATGTCTCATCTCATCTCTCATCTCATGTCTCATCTCATCTCTCATCTCATCTCTCATCTCATCTCTCAGCTCATCTCTCAGCTCATATCTCATCTCTCTCATCTCTCTCATCTCTCTCATCTCTCTCATCTCTCTCATCTCTCTCATCTCTCTCATCTCTCTCATCTCTCTCATCTCTCTCATCTTTCATCTCTCCCTCATCTCTCCGTCTCTCTCGCTCTCTCTCTCTCATCTCTCCCCCCTCATGTCTCCCATTTGCGTACCAACACCCCGCAGAGGGGGAGGCACGTCCGCTCTCCCTCTCTCTCTCTCTCCCTCCCTCTCCTTGCTCATCTCTCATCTCTCATCTCTCACCCCTCACCTGTCATCTCTCAGCTCTCCCTCCCCGACATGCTCGCACTCAACGCACCTAGAAAGTACAACCCTCTCGACACACTTTTGGCTCGATGTTCGTTTTTTTCGGCAGGCGGCGGTAGGTGTGTCACTCTGCGCACTGCAAATACAAGTCAGGCACGAGGCACAACCTGCCACCCCACCGATATGGGCGGAGTGGGAGGGTTCGAAGAAATCTATTGAAATCTGAACCAGTTTCGAGCCACAAACTTGCGCCATCAAGCGCGTACCATGGCTCGCAACATGTCACTTCGTACACACATGTACTACGAGATAAGCAAACCCGGAATCAGGAACATGTAGGTTTTCACCGCTCACCTACCCCACCGACCCTCCACCACCCCTCCCCCCGCGATAAGCAACACCCGGAAACAGGTACTTCGTAGCCAGCAAAACCTGGAATCGTGAACACGTTGTAGTTAGTCGCCAGCATTCACCCCCAGATAAGCAAACCTGGAATCAGGAACACTTTGTAGGCATTCACACTCACCCCCCCCTCAGCAAACCCACAATCAGGCACACTTTGTAGGTATTCACTGCCACCCCCCCCCCCCCCCCCCCCCCGCAGGAACACTTTGCAGGTATTTGCCCCACAACTCCCGACAAGCAAAACTTGCAATCGTGAACACGTTGTAGCTATTCACCACGTGGAATCAGGAACAATTTGTAGGGTGTCCACCATTCACCCCCCGATAAGCAAAACCTGGAATCAGGCACCACTTGCCCCCCGTTACGCAAAACTGGGAATCAGGAGCACTTGGTAGATGTTCACATGTGTTCACCATTCACTCCCCCAAGAAGCAAAAGCTGGAATCAGGAAGCATGCACATCAAATCAAGGTCCTACTGAAATATGAGGACAGTCAGATGGCGCACCCCACGTGCCTCATCCTCGCAAACTGTCAGCAACAGACCCGAACAACAAAAAACAACAAAAAGAAAGGACCCTCTACAAGTCGCGCCCCACGTGGCCCCCCACATGGCCTCATCCTCGTAACTGCCTGCAGATGTCTGCAGTTTTTTGTTCCGTGTCCGTCATCTCTCCCTCGTCGCTCCGTCGCTCCGTCGTCGCTCATCTCTCCGTCATGTTCCCTTCATATCCCTCTCATCTCTCTCCTTTCCTTTCCTTCTTTGTTTTCGTTTCTTTCTTTGCGTTCTTTCTTTCATGGGGCCTGGGGGGCACGCAAAGTCCCTTTCGAATGCTCTCGCGGAACTCCCCAGACTCTGAAGCCCACCATAGCCCACCTCTTGAACCGGGAACCCTCCGCTACACGTTCGAGAACATGACACTTGTGTCAGCACAAATAACCCTGCGCAGGATGTTGTGGGACGAAGCAAAAACGCCGTAAATACTAGCATGTTCGCGACAGTCCCAAATGCTCGTGACAGCCCGTCTTGTCCCAGACAAGCCCAACATCCTGCAGAAGTATGTTATCATAAGTATGTTGTACAAAGAAGCAAAAACGCTGTAAATGCCAGCGTTTTTGGGCATGATCGTCGTAGGAATGGACGTTATCATCCCCCCCCCCCCCCCCCCCCCCAACCTGGAAACCAGATACAAGCAGGTTAACAATAGCAGTGACCTAGCGCACCACCAATTACTGTCACTCACCTGGCAAACCAGATGCTGCACCGTGGTTTCTTCCGTCTTCGCTCAAGAACATGTCACATGTGTTCCAAGATCTCGTTGGCGAAGCACACGGTTTCACATGGCTTCATGAGCAATCACAATGGTCTTGTCATCATGTCGGGCCGGCACGTCCTTGGCAACAATTCTCCAGGTCCACACCCGCCTTGAGATTTGCAGCATCTGTCTGCGCAATGAAGCCATCCCAAACACCACCTCGTTCGCGATCCGTGTTGGAGCCCCGTGTTTCACGAGAATCATCTGTCTTCAGCGCCAAGATGCATAAGATGCATAGATGCGTCATTCTCTGTGTTCCCTGTACCACGCACGGAAGGCTCGTCGGTTTTGGTGCAGCACGCCCGCCAAAGCATCACCTGCACATGTCAACGCAAGAACTAGGAATAACAAAACGCACGGCGGGCAGACGTGGGCTGCAAATTTGCGGTCAGCCTACTAAGGCTCTTTACCAGGCATCTTTTCTTTTTCCACACCTCTTTAGGCCTCCATTCCGGAGAAGTCCGATTCTGACCTGGTCGATGCCTCCTTTAGTCTAAGCCTCTTTTGTCGGAGACCGATCCGGCCACACCGCGAAAAGCCTCTAAGCCTCTTCAAGTTGGACAACGGAGAAAGGAGCTCAAGAACATGTGCTTAGCCTGAAGGCGATTGCGCAAGTGCGATTATTGTATGGAGTATTGGACGACAGGCCCTTGCAGGAATATAACGGATAACCTGCTTGAAGAGGTTATATAAAGCGCCTGAAAGCGTTCAGGGAGCCTGTGAGACGCTGAAAACAGGCACGATTAAGACTGTAAAGGTGTGCGAAAGGAGTGTGGAAAAGCATTCAAAGAGCTTCAAAGCCCCAAAAGGCGCTACAGTAAAACACTTAAAGCCTCTTGAACACGCTTAAAGACAGGTAAAGATGCTGTAACGGCGCTTCATCAGATTCTCTTGACAAGCCCTTGCCTGAGAAGCAGTTTGCAGGTGCAGGTTCATCCGAAGTGCATGCATCCTGTCCTTGAGTTGAGGGATGCATGCACACATCGTTATGCGGGCTGTGAATGTGGGGACTTCGCCTCTAGGCGAGCTCAATGTGAGCCAGTTGCAGGAGTTGCAAGCGCAAGTAAAAGACTTCGCAGTCGCGTGCAAGTAGCGCGGATGCTAGGCCTTTCAGTTGTTAGTTCGCATTTTCTGAGAGAGCTTTCGGCGAACATCACTTCTGTGGATGCGGAAGGTATAGACCAACTCCTACTTCGAAGGGCGGCGCAAAAAGAGACCTTGTAGTCTAAGATGCTTCCGCAACCTCAGGAGTTGCTAGATGGCGTGAGCCCAAGCTGTTCGATGAGTTCACGAAAGAAGTAGGGCAGCTTTTCTGAGCCTGGGAGGCACAAAAACCAAACACAAAAGAAATACAAGAAGTCCGTTGAAGCAGCGCTTCAAACTCTACCACGGCTTGATCGAATGCGCCACTCTGAAATCTGAAATAACATCTGGTTGACAACTTGGAAACGCGATTCGCTCAACACAACTTTGTCGATGCGGACATTTGAATTGCACGGAAACATCGTCAGAGATAGAGAACTTCAGCACCATCGAGAGCAAGAGTTGCTAGAAGCCATAAGCAAATTGGAAATTAATGGATGTAAATTGTAAAAGATGTCTTGTCTCCAGCTCTGCTTGAGCTCAAGCAGCAGCATGCAAGGCACCAGGAGGCAGACGAAGGTCAAGGACGACAGCGCATTCGCATTTCTTGTAAGGACAATGCCGAGCTTCGCAAAAGACACACACTGAAAATTTAGCTATCGCTGCTTCATCCGCTCTTCCAAAAACCAAGGAGTTCATGCAGCATGTCTGATTTCAGAACGAGCGGTAAGGTCAACGGCAAATCCAAGAGCAATTGAAACCGAAAAAATCAATAGACGCAGGGACATCCTTCTGGCTTGACAAGGACAGGTGCCGCATTGATTTTGCAGGTTCTGCGTCAGGGGACGCGCGCAGGATGTCGCACTCTGCTGCACAAGCAAGTCTATTAAGGAGTTCACAACCTGGCCCCTGCTCAGTTGATGCTCGTTCCAAAGCACCCTCTTGCAAGCCAACTCTGCGTCAAAGATGTTTTAGGCAGCCTGAAACTCTTTGCGATTGAAGGACAGAGGCTTCCACATGAAGCGTTTCCATGACGTCACTGCCAAACACCAACGTTGCAAGAAGAAGTATGCCGCAAATGTGAAGAAAGCTCATTGAAAATTCCCCACAACTGGCGACAGGGATGTGCCGCCGCTTGGATTTCAGACAGGCTTTGCAACAAAACCTTGCGTTGCTCAAGCGAGGCCTTGCACCGGTGAGCATTTCTTGGGTTGTTGGTCGGACTCTCTTTCGGCGCAATTACCCCGGAACATGGAAATTGCTCACTCACAGGCGTGGCTGAGGGCTGAGGGAAGGATTGAAACTCGATTTGCCCAAAGACCTGAGTCCCTATTTGGGACGAAGAGCCCGCTGGGCACATAACTTGGCAACCCGCCTCCCCCAGCAAAGACAAAATGAGAGCACACCCCAAACAAGTTATAGCTTGCTGCTCCATTGCGAGCGTGCCCGCCCACCTTCGAAGCCCGACAAAAGCCAGACAAAAGCTCGGAGTACATCTCGCGCACATCGGAAGGGACCCTCGCGAAGACTTCGCCGAGCCATGGTCTTTTCTTCGTCTCCGCTCTGGGAGGGCCTGACTGCACAATTCCGCGTGATGCACAGGATCGCAAGGCTGAACGCGCCAAGAACTGGCTCATTCAATGTGCAAATGTCATGGTGTCTATGATTTCTGGGCTTGTGCTTTCAACGTAGGTTTAGTTGCAAAGCAAGCTCCGAAAGCCATTCCCGCAATCTTGTTAGGGACCTCTTTGCGGTATCTATTCAAGTCTCTCTCTCTTAGGGTTGAACCCTCAAGGTTTTAGGATTACGTATGCGCTGTACACCGCAATAGAGCAAAGAGCCCCAAAAAAGGCTCATGATTTAAGATTGAGAAGAGTCGTCAAAAAGCTGCCCGAACTGCACTGATGCCGAGCCATGCGGATGTCAGGTTTAGGGCTTCAGGCGCTACACTGCCACAGACAGCGCAAGAAAATGGATGTACAAGAAGCAAGCTTGGTGTTTTTTCACATCGACATGTTCCCCGCTGAGCGCTTGTCAGTTCGCCAGCTACGCGTTGGAAGCTCGCAGATATTCCTTCATTTGCTAGAGTGTGGCGATTGCCGAATATCCTTCAATCCGAACAGAACGAGATCTCCCAAAGCAGTGCCCCAACAGCTCCGGGAGCGACCTAAACAACTGAACACATATGGACAATCGAGGTTGGTGTTACGACTGACACGCCGGGCCCTCGCTAGACTTGTGCGGCTCAGGACTGCCGAGTCTCTTCCGACGCATGGGGGGTATTCTCCATACGCATCTTTCAAACCTCTAGGGTAATCAACATCCTTGCTAAATCAATTGGACCATACTGAGCCAAATGCTAGATGCCTTGCAGAAAGCCTACAAGCTCTACAATCCTACATGAACTGATGCGACAGACCTAAGTGTTGGCAGTGTGTGTGTGTGTGTGAGCGCATGTTCTCTCCTGCATGTTGCGGTGGTTCAGTCGGGAAGCGCTTCTGCCACGTGGAAGGACAAACCCGCAAAACCCAGCACCAAGCTGGCAATCGCCCAGGCTCTGGGCAGATGGTACGATGATGTCACAACTACCACGTCCACAGGAGCGCTTCCTGAGCGATTGACATGTCAATGCCATGTATTGTTGAATACGGGCCTGCATCTGCACAGGCCCAGCGTGCAATTCCAGCAGTCACTGGGAGCTGAACGTTCGCGAGCCAGACCCTTCCTCTCGATGCACCGGAGAAAAGTAGTGAAGTTTGCGAATGTGTCAATCGCTTCCTGCACAGGTTCATCTGGTCCGCCAGCTGAAACATGTATGTGTGTGACGGCGTACATACACATACCAGTACTTGGGGGGCAAAGCCGAGGACAACGAAAGCTAGCCTGGATTGAGACACATCGCACTCCACACTGCACACCCCACACAAATCCACGCTCCATGCTCTCTACTCCACGCCACCGCAAGCATCCACACTCCACGACACACCAACACCATGACTACCACCACAGGGCACCACACTCCACCACACCCCACACACAGCCAAGCATGCGACCACGGAGACCACATTCCAGGTATTTCCAGATTCGCGAAGCTCGCCGAAACACACGCTTCAGAGAACGTGCGCTCATGCAGACCACGATATGTTACGCAACGATCGTTTCTGCACCACACACCACCAAACACCACCACACGCCGCACACCCCTACGACCACCACCACCGCCACCTCCACGGCCACCACCCTCACACAACACGCCACACTCCACCACACACCGCACAACGCCACGTATGCGCTTACGGAGGCCGCGATCCAGGTCCACGATGGTCCGCGGAGATCTCGAAACACGCGCGCTTCAGAGAACGAACGCCCATTCAGACTGCGACCTATAACGCAACGACCGCGTATCTATCGCCTTTCACGCCCCCCCCCCTTTTGAAAGGCTTTAGAGGCTATTTAAATTTTAACGCATAAACCGAAAAATTCAAGGAATGGCGACCCCGGCGACCCTTAGATTCGATGAATGGCGACCCCCCACCCCACCACCCAAAAACCCTGACAGGCTCAGGAACCCGCAACTTCACCGGGGTTGGTCAAAGCAAAGCCATCCTTTGGGTGTTAAGTGCTTGATTGCAGCTAGAGGTCTCTGTCTAACTCCATGACCTCCTGAAGCTGCCGCATGTCAATGCCTGCGAAATGCTGCCTGTGATTTTTTCTCGCTTCCGAACTGAAGTCGGACCGGAACTTGAAGTGCCCACTTGAGAAAAAGGCAAGTGCATCTGGGCGAGCAGCCAACTTGGCACCAAGTCGTGCTCCCAGCACATCACGACAACATTCGCCGCCACAAACAAGGAGCCAACGTGTGCCACTGGCGATGGCAGCTTCCGCTACCTCGACCTTGGTGAAATTTGGCGAACGTGCGTTGGTGGAGCACGTCCCTCGCCAACGCTTAAACAGCACGTGGGCTTGCTAGTGGCTTGACACAAGCTGATGCAAATTGATGCAATATGCACACAATTCTGCACACATCTGCGTGCGCAGCCTAAGGTAAAAAAAAACACCATGTGACTGCTTAAATCACAGGACATGGCACAGAGCCGGAAGCCTCCAGGCCTGCCGCGGCTGCACGCGGATCGAAGCTTCCGGAGTTGCTGCATGTTTAGTTACACATGTTTGGCTGGAACCTAAAACCCAGCATCTATCGATGGCACCGAGAGAGACACCGAGTCACTCAGACACATGCGAGAGATCTCTTGGGTTCGATGCCGAAGAGTTCACATAGGCATCTTCCGGCACGCTCAAACAACCTGAAACAACCTGAAACAACGCATGATTGAATGCAACGATGAAGCTACGTGGCCGCAGCAATGCTGATAAAGTCGAAGGGCTTACGGATTTATAGCCTCTGGAATGAACAGACTGAAAGTTGAAGCTGTCTCAGTTCCAAAGAAGTCTAATCTGTAAAATGTCGGTTTCTGCAAATTGGCCTGCAGCTAACACCAAAACGTGAGGGCGACAACTAGAAGCAGGTGGATCGCGCTCGGCTCCCAAGCGTCCATCCAGCTCCATCCTTAGACCATGCGTTTCGGGCCCAGCCTGATCGCAGTCTCCATGCCGCGGCTTTGCGGCCAGCAGGAATACAACGCATGGCTGCAAAGCCAAGGATGCCTGAAAACATCTGCAAAGCGACAGCCGAAAAACAAGCATGGACAGGCATGGACCAACATGATGATCGACCCGTGGGGCAAGCGAGGCAAGCGGGGCAAGCGAAGCCAAACAGGCCAAGTAAAGGGTGGGACACTCCCCCCACCCAGCACTTTCAACCAGTCCTCGAAATGGGCAGTCTCCCTAAAAGTCAATGTTAATCGAGACACAGCCATAACAGACCCCAAGATAATAGTTTTTGATGATGAGGAGCATAGGGCCTTCACGAACATTCAAAACACCATGCGACCGTGAGGGTGACTTCCATGCCCAAATCAGGTCACACGGCCCAGGTGAAGCGGGAGCAACAGACCACAAGGGAAGCGAAGCAGTGGGACAAGTGAGGCAGGTGGAGCAAGTAACGCTTTACACAGTACAACATTGTGTAAGTGAAGCGGGTTGGTTGTCTGCCTCTGCAACCAGACTCCTGCCAAGCTACTGGTCACGTAAAGCACCAATGCAAGGGCAACGGCACGCAGCGGCGTGGCTTGAATTGCCTCACATGCTCGTCACTCCACGCGGCCACAACTGCAGCAATTAAAACCCTCAGCCCAGAATTAGTACAGAACAGCTGCCAAGCAGCAGTCACACAAGCCACGGCGAAGGCAAGCACGTAAAAACGCAGAACACGAGGCATGGCGAGTGCCCTTGTCTCGTGCATGCCTACACCTGGATGCAAAGCCACACACTGCTCATTGCAGAAGCCCAAACCGATCTGGACACCGAGCCGCAGCAACGTACATGGAATCGACGCAACGTGCATGGATCACACTCGAGCACAGGGCAGCCGCTGGAGCACGTACCGGAAGGGTTTCATGATACTTCAGTGATAACTTCATTGGTCCCCATTGTCAATTTCTACGCAAAACCATTAAGCGGCAAAGCAATGGTCATTTCTGGAAGGCAGTATGCGTGCCTCACTTAATGCGTCTTGGCTTAAGACAGCCGGAGCATGGAGAGGTACAACGCGGAACAAAAGATAAGTGTTGTGGCTACAGCTGTACATCAATCTCGCTGCATCTGCACAAAGGTCTCATCCCCCATCGCTGGCGGCAGAAGCGGGGGCGAGTCACCCCAGAAGAAGAACTCACAGTGCCGTTCCTGGGATGCAGAAGCCGAGTAGCAGCGCAGCCCGCAAAGCATCACAAAATGCAAGCCTCGGCCCCAGCCAAGAATGCCTCATCATGCCTCCCAGAAACGGATTCTGGTGGTAAGTCAAAGCCTTCTTCCAGGAGTCCTCGTTCTGCCGCCTCCATTCTTTCGGCCTGACGAACTGTCGCACGGCACGTAGCACAAACCCGCCCTCTCACATTTCTCATTGAAAACATTTCCAGTTCTCACCGTGCTTCTCCTGAAAGCCAGAACGGGTTGGATTGCTGCACACTCTTGCGAAAGGTTCGTGTTCCCACCGAAGCTGTTGGCATACAACCAGCGGGGAATCCCTGCAAAGAATTTCGGTGACGTGTTTTTAACAGATTCCTATGTTGTTCATGCAAGTTCTGTTAACAAAGCAAGCTTGCAGCGAGAAAACCTCAATTTTCTTATATTTACTAGGACAACCTTTTTTGCTCTATATTATAGCAGGAAACCTGGGTGTTCTTCTTATTCCAACCAGAAACCCTCTATTTCTCTGTGCGAATGGAACAAGTATACTTTCATAGGAAAACCTCTAATATGTTTTTAAGCTCTGAAAAGCAGGGGGGTGGGTGCAGCCCCCCCCCTTTGCAAACGCAATGCTCACATGACGGGTTTGGAGAGGATTCGTATGTTTCTAGTGCGAGTTCTCCTCATGGCATCATCGTCTTTACAAAGCAAGCTTGCGCAGCTGAAAAAAGAATAGGGCGGCGGGCGCTTGCACACGCAATGTTCGCATCATAGGTATGTTCCTAATGCAACTTCTCTTCATGGGCTGATGCTCTATTCAACTTTTCGAATCAAGCTTGCACGGGTAAAGAAAAAATAAAAGCGGGGGTGGGGATGGGGGGGGGGGGGGGGGGGGGGGGGGGGGCGCGACCCCCCTACATGCAGACAGTGTGCTCACATGGGACGGATTCGCATGTTCTTAATGAGAGTTCTCTTTATGGCATGATCCTCTTTACAAAGCAAGTTTGCACGAGGAAAAACTCAAACACAGGGGGGTGGGGGTTGGGGGATGCAAGTCCTCTTCATGGGCTGATGTTCTGTACATTGCTTCCTTCCTTCTTTCTTTCTTTCTTGCTTTCGGTCTGTCGCTGCATGCAGGAAATAGACGCTTTCCTTATCATTTATATCACTTATATTATATGGGACGCACAAGAAAAATGGTAACAATACAGGTTTTCCCAATACCATATCGAGAAACAAAGGTTTTCCTCTTAAAGTGTAAAGCAAATCGAGGCTTTGGTTTTAGATTATAGAGAAATGACATGTTCCTACTCAATATCAAATATTGGCAAGATTCTGGTTCCTTATTTAAATAGAGAAACCAGAGCAAGTAAAGAACCAACCAAAAAAACATAGAACACATGATCATGCAGACAAGGGAAATTTTGGCATCATCGATTTTGGCTGGAGACCAGTGGGGACCCAAATGAGATCAGAAATTTCTCTGGACGAGCCATGTCGCACCTCAAGCAGCCTGGCAGCGCCATCTGGCCAGCGCAAGGCCTCTCGGCGCACAGCAGCGAAAACCATCCGGCCAATACGGAAGCCGACCGCCCTGGCTGCTGTCTCGTTCCATGCCTGCCGATTGCTGTTGGAAAAAATGTTTCAAAAATGCCTCAAAGATGGCCATACTAACGATGTTGCCCGCCTGCCCCTCACCTCTGCCTCTGGCTCGGCGAAGGCTCATTTCAAAGAGCTCTGCTAGACCCTTTGACGACAACTTCAAGAGCTCTGCGCCCGTGATCTGCGGCGGCAGAACCAAATACTTGAAGCGGCCGTCATCCACTGTTCGGATCCACCTCGAAGGGAGGTGGCTTGTCGAAGTTAGAACACGACTATGTGGCTTGTCGAAATTAACGCGCGACTATGGTAGGGCGACAGCAGGCGGAACTTGCCAAGCCTGTCAACATCCTCCATTGACCAGTCCCAGATTGGTTTCGACACGGTAAAGTCGATCAAAGGCAAATCAATGGAACACTCGGCGCGCAAAGTCGACAGGACTGTGGACCTCGAGAAGACCGATGCTGGAATACTATCTCTATTCCGACATCGCTTGTAGGGAAGCCGCGTATTCTTTCATTCATGAAACATGTCTTTGCCCGGCTTCTTCTGTCGAAGCAGAACCGGCAGAAACACATCAAAGTCTAGCTTTCTTCCCAAATCCTAAGCCCGTGGCATCTGCGTCACTTGCAGGAGAGAGTTTGTCGAGTGCAACAGATCAGTTGCAGTAGGAGAAACGGTTGACAAGATGATCGTCCTGCACTGCATGGCTATACATTGGCATGATCACTTCCGGGGATCTTCAAGAATTCTGCTCACCAGATGTGCCCCTGGTCTTAGCTCTAGCATCCACAGCTCAAGATGTGCAGATGGCAGAGGTGCTTGGCCGGTCCTATGCTGTGGATCTGTAAAGCACGACCGCAGCACCTCACACGCCAAGTACACCCAAAAAGAAGAAATTCAGTTGAAGTCAGTCCACAGCCTGAGTGAGTCGACTGGCGCGGTATGCTGGTCGAGCAGCACGTTGCCGCACAATGCGTGCATGGGCTCGGAAGCAATCCTGCCAAACTCTGGCTTAAGCTCATGAAAACTATTCATGGACGAATTTCCTTTCCTTGTCTGTGCACATATGCTCACACTTTGCGTTTACCCTGTTTTTACCTGTCTCGCTCAGTACAACCCAAAGCTCAAATTAGCCGATGCTTCAAAAAGGGGAGGTCCGGAAATGTAGACCGATTGTTGTGTATGAGGGCGAAGGCAGATGGAGAACGGTAGGCGGGGCATGGGTTTAAACTCCCTGAGGAAGGATGAGGAAGGTGGTAAGGGCAAAGTCGGGGAGGCAGCAAACCTAGATACCTCATCGCAGCACCCGATCCACTTCGGCATTCGGCGGGGGACACCGTTGTGCTGGGCAGCTTGGTGGATTGTAGTGTCTCCTTTGGAGAAATACAAGCGCCCACTTGTTTGCGTTGTGCGTAACCCAGTCGCAGCCTTCAGCGCCATCAACGACTTGTTGATTTCTGCAAAGTCCCGGTGTTGCAGGGCGGTCATGTGGCGTGTTTCATAGTTGCGCTCCGAGCCAGCCAAGTCCACAAATCGGATTGTCCCAAGACCATCAATCTCGAGGATGCAAATCGCCTGAGATTGCTTCCACTCCCGGTTCTGCCTACCTGTTCTTGGCACTTGCTGGCACAACATGTCTTGGCAACCCAGTAGCATGGCTACGGGAAGATAGCGGGTTTCTTTCCGTCGCCTCAGATCGCCGCAACTGCAGCGCCTCCTCCAGCAGCTCGGAAAGCTCTGATGCAGCGGCCGTTAATTTTGTGGCGCCCCTGACGTGTCTGCAGCCCATGCGAGGGAAATCATATTAACATGACTGGAAAGATTGAAAAGAAACTTGACTGTCTTGAACTATATTGAACTCATGTGTGCTAGGTCCTGACGTGAACCCTTTCTTCACCGTCTGCTCGCAAAACAACCTCTTTTCGATGCTGAAGTAAATCGAAACCTTAAGTTTCAATCGTGCTTGCGACTGCTCATGGCAGTTCACATGCGGCTGAAAAGCAATATGTAGTAACGCCACCCAAGCGCATTTCTTCCCGAGAATCTCAAAGAACGTGACCGATATCGAACGACCAGCCAGGTCGTGCCCAATCCGCTGCCAGCATGCATTGAAGGTATGGGTCTTGCCGGTACCCGTTTGGCCATAGAACATGATAGTGGCCTGCGAAGCGCAGGCTCGACACTGTGTGCGTAAGTGGGTGCGTGTGTGTGAGAAGGTGCGTAGAGAAGCTGCGTAACTTCGCAACTCTCCACACACGAACCAAAGCAAGCCTGCTTGCCGTTGAGGGATGCCACAACAGGTTGTACCTCATGCATCTTGCACGCACACAAAGCATCACAAAGCCAATTTTGGCTGGGAGACCTATAGGATGTGAGCTCATGCGGGGAGATGTCGTTGATAACTTCAACAGTCCCTTGTTTGCAACGATGTGTGTAGCGTTACCTGCACGAAACGCAAACTTCTACACAAAGCAAAGGCCGGCTCAGCCAAACAGCCCTGGCATCCCCCAACATTCTTCACCCTCTGATAACCGGCTTGACCCTCAACTCACCGAGTCCAGGTGCTGCATCTCTGTAGAATTCGGCATCTGAAACATCAGATCCGTAAACGCGATCCTTTGTGTCAAAAATTGAAGGCAAACACACACCGGTGGCAACAGCAGCTGCATGTCCAAAAACATCCAACAGGACCATGCAGACTCATGGAGCCAGTGTGAACTTCTTGTGCATCACTTCCAAACGCCGACCCGTTCTGTGCAGTCGGCCATCATGACAAACAATTCGCGCATCTCGCCTCCCCATGTTGGGTCACCATTTGTCCATGCTTCCATGCAAGGAACTAGGAGATGCTCGGACGCAAGCACCACAGCCTCGAAACAGAAACACAATCCCATTCACCGGCAGCCAGCTCGAATTTTAGAAGCGGCCGCTTGCGGGCAATGAACCTAAGTTGTTCTCGCAGCAAACAACCCTCGTGAAGCCTCATGAAGCACAGAACCATGAAGCCAGCTGGGTCACGAAATCTGTGGGTCGGGCTCTGGCGCAAGCACTCGCCAACCAACTAGAAAAGCCACTGCTTGCCCCTGCCCAAAGCAGAAGTCGGCCACACGTTCCAAAATTCGCAAGTCCAAGTCCTCGTGCCGTTCGTTGCCCAC